TTTAATAATGGAAATATAACTAAGGTAATTGAAAAATCCACAAAATTAATTTTCTACCATATTGTTATTAATAAATTACCTTACTCTTTGGGAATACCCTCAGGATTAAAATAGGCACGAGTGTAGGTATTCTTTTTGATGTGTATACTTCTACAATATTAAATGATTAAAATGGAAGTAGATTTAATCTGGAAAATTAATAAACAAATTTCAAAAGTATAAACAACATATTTTAAATTAAATGTTCAACATGACCACCTTCCTTTAAATGCAGGTATATAATATCTCCAATCTTCTTGTAACTAGCTTACAATCGTAATTATCGAATTAAACGAATAGCATATTTACCTTTTATTTGTTTTATAGTATTTCTTTATTACCTAAATAATTATTTTTTAAGCAACGAAGATACAGCGATTCGAAGTCGTCAAAAATTACCACTTTTCAGCAAAATAATCAAAAAGGGGCCATTTTTACTGACTTTGAAGCGCTGTATCTTCGTTACTGTTCGTTTAATTTGTACAAAATTTTCAGGGTATACTAACAAAAATACGATCTTTAACAGCATTTTTTTATTTACTTAAAAAAATTACCCTAAAAGTTATTTTTAGAACGTTTTTTCATTATTAAATAAAAGGGCTTTAAATATATTTTCTCGAAAAACCCTCTAAAATGTAAACTGAGATATATGTAAGTTAAAGTATTTTTATCCAAAATTTCATAAAGAATAATAAAGGCGTTTTAGAGTTAGATTTTATTTAAAGTTGTTCCAAAAATTATGGCCAACACTGTATATGAATAAAAATAATCTCACCTGCAAAAAATGTTTTTGCAACATTATATTACATCTATAAATTAAATTTTAATACCTTAAAATCAATATTATTATTTATTATTTAAATAAAAATTTCAAACATAACAAGAAAAATTTATTCCTCTTTTTATTTTAATCAATATTCAATAAATATTTATCCAGTCATATTTTGCAACCCGTGCCTTAAGCTTGCTAAAGTGATGGATCCAAATTCAAACTGGGGAATAGTAAGAATTATGATGCTGGTATCCGGTACTTGGCCCGCAGAACTAATTCCACCTGGTAAATTAAGGTCATTCTACAAAGTCGCCAAAATAATTCCGTTGATATTTTTATTCATATTAATATTAAGTTTAAGTGTTGGATTATATTTGCTTATTACACAGGGCAATTTCAAAAACCTACCGGTGGCTACATCGATATATATCGTACATGTTATAGTATTGATAAAATCGCTTGTATGTCAAAACGGGGGTATAAAAAAGATGATTAAGTTGAACGTGGAACAGGATATTTTTTTATACAAAACTACAGACAAAGGTATACACAAGATAAGAAACAATTACATTGCCACAGTCAAGTTTTGTATGAAGGCTTTTGTATATTACACACCCTTTTTATGGATAGTAATAGTATCAACTTACTTTTTGGAATACTATGTCTTCTGGAACGAAGAAAAATCAACCTTAATGGATCGTGAACAACTGTATCAGACTTATTTAATATTTGACACGAACAAGCATTATTTGTGGGGTCTTGTTTGCAATGCATTTTTATGTTATATCGTATGCATATATTTCGTTGGATACGACATAATGATGATGAGTTTTCTTTTTAACATCTCTATAAAACTGAAAATCCTGCAAAATTTTCTAAGGAACCTCGACAAGTACGCCGGCAATATCAGGAAGATTCATAAGGAATTAACTGAAGATCAGGCTGTTTTTGTAGCAGTTAGATTATGCATCATCGAGCATCAAAATATAATGAAGTAAGTAATAATACTTATATAATTGTGAGATTTATACATGTATATTGTATAAATATATATATATATTAGGGTGAGCCAAAAAAACTAACCTATCGGATTTATGGGTTAAAATGAACCTACATACCGAGAAAAAAATTTCCCTGCAAGGCAAAATTTTTTGCTCAATTTTAAAAGGTGTCGGTGAGCATTCTAAGTTTTCCATTGAAATAACACGTAAAAAAATCTTTTTTCGTTAAAAAGACTATAACTTTTGAACCGTTTGAGATAAAATTTTTTACGTCGCGGATTCTTGTAGAGCATAAAATTTCCTAAAAAAATCTACCCTAGGATTATTTTTTTCAATTAAATAATTCGTATATTTGAAAGCTTTGAAAAGTGAAAAAAATCAAAATATTCAGTTTTAGTGATTTTTTACACTTTTCAAAGCTTTCAAACATACGAATTTTTGAATTGAAAAAAATAATCCTGGGATAGATTATTTGGGAAATTTTATGCTCTACAAGAATCCGCGACGTAAAAAATTTTATCTCAAACGGTTCAAAAGTTATAGTCTTTTTAATGAAAAAAGATTTTTTTGCGTGTTATTTCAATGGAAAACTTAGAATGCTCACCGACACCTTTTAAAATTGAGCAAAAAATTTTGCCTTGCAGGGAAATTTTTTGCTCTGTATGTAGGTTCATTTTAACCCATAAATCCAATAGGTTAGTTTTTTTGGCTCACCCTAATATATATATATATATATATATATACAGCGTGAGTCATTTAACATGAAACTTTGAAATATCTCATTTTTTCGTAAGGTCATACACCTTACGAAAAAATGTTTAAAATAAAAATTAAATGATTTGAGGGGGGAAATCAATCAGTACTAGAATTGATCCTCATACTCTCCTCCTTATAGGGGGAACAGGGGGTAACTTTCCAATGGAACATCCTATTTTTTTTATTGCAGATTCGGATCATTCGACTAAAAATAGGTAGATTTTGTCTAAAAAAAAAATTCATTTTTGTAATAGATGGCGCTGTAATGAAAAAAATCAATTTTGTTCGATTTTTCTTCTGCAATTTTTTTCTATAAAAATATCACTTTTTTGGTAATAATTATCTTATTACATTAAATCTGATTTTTTTTTAAGTACCCACGTTTTTTTAACTAATATTTAAGTTTCCTTTGGTTTAAGTTTTATACATTATTTCATTCGGTGATAATTATCAATTGCGCACCATGGTCACTTTTTACCAGCCAGCATTAAATCCTTTAATTTAAAGGATTACTGTAATATTTTTAATACCTCATTTAAGGTAAAAAAAAATTAATTTGTCAATTAATTAATTTAATCCTAATTGAGGTATGGAAAATGGAATTTAGTTATGTAAGCGATATTTTTAAATTTAAACTTGCCGCGCTGCGAACCGTCAGTTCGAGTTAGTCGGTAAAGTAGAATGCTGGTGTTAGGTTTTTAGATGTTTAGTTATTGTAAATCTATTTACATCGAAGAAAATATAGAAAATATGAAATACCTATTAGTGTCGTGTTATAAACGCGCCGCCCACGGATCCATCCGATTACAGTTATAAATAAAAATTATTATTGGGGTATAAAGAAACTATTTATACATAGTTTAGCATTATTTAATCAATTTAGTTCGAAGATTAAGACTTCCTTTTGTTAAGCAGTTATTCATAATGGATTTTTTAACAGTGGAAGAAAAAATAGAAATGATTTTGATTTATGGAGAAGCAGGCAGGAATCTTGATGATGCTGTTAATATCTACGCTCACCGTTTCCCAGATGAAATTAGATCACGTACTTCATTTCACTGTACAGTCAAGCAGTTTACTACAAACGGGAGTGTTCAACCGAAAAAAAGAGTTCGTCGTTCAACAGTCACAGGTGGAAATAATGAAATTAATGTATTAGCAGCAACGGCCGCTAATCCTCATGCAAGCACAAGAGAATTATCTAGATATTTGAGAATATCCCAGAGCAGTGTTAGTAGAATATTAAAACGAAATGCGAATTAATAAATGCATTGAAGTCGAAGGCCACCATTTTGAGCACCTACTTTAATTAAAATTTAAAAAATAAAACCAAGTATTTTATTGAAAAATTATTGAAGAATCGTATATAGAAGAAAAATCGAAAAAAAAATGATTTTTTTCATTACAAATATGAAAAAATGTTTTAGACAAAATCTACCTATTTTAGTCGAATCTTAAAGTTCCCGCTATAAAGAGAAGAGTATGAGGACCAATTTTAGTACTGATTGATTTCCCCCCTCGAATCATTTAATTTTTTTTAAATATTTTTTCATTTAAATTTTAATAATTAATTACCAAAATGTTTTTGTAAAAGACTTGACAATTATATTCAACTTATTTAGTGGTTAAATTTTCCCAGAAATGGGTCCAAACTAAAATTGAAAAATAATTGAAACTTTTGATTTTAAAATATTGCAATATTGATTTTGTTTAAAAGTGATTTATTTTTTATATTAGATTTGTTATTGAACTAAACGGCTACATCAACATATTACTATTTTTGGAATTTTTTACCAATTCCTTGCATCTAGCTGCAAACTTATTGGCTATACTGGAAGTAAGCAAATACAAAATACAAAAAAACAAATTTCCATAAAAATTTATTGTTTTAGTTTGAAATTTCAATTACTTTTATCTTTGATGTGGTGTTCCTTACTCAAAAAATTGCCGAAATTATGGTGTTACATTATTCCGCTGATGAAATTAAATCACAGGTACGTAAATTATATACAGCGTGTCGGACACGCCGCACCATGGTCAAAAAGCAACGTTTTGCGGAAAAAATTTAATAACTTTTTTAATACAAATAAATATTATTTAATATAAAGCATAAACGTTATATGAAAAAGGTCGTCTAAATATTGCTGTTTTGTGAGCAGGCCTTCAAATCTTAAATTTAGGTTATGAAAAGATTTAGTTTATTAAATTTGTGCGTAATTTTTAGCCTACTGTGAGGTGTCATAAAATCAAAACATAATCATTTAAAAATATTTCTTTACCAAAATCTATTGCTTTAAGATGTTTTTAACAAATCATTGTCATAAAAATACCCATAATAAAAAGTTTTTAAAAATGTCTGCGCCGTGTCCTGGAAATTGCTCACCAAATCCACACCACGAGAATTTATTAATTTTAAATAAAATTATTTTTAGAGCCTAAATCTGTCACAAGCTATTTGCGACTCAACCTACTACAATTTCAACAAAAAATCCAAAGATTGCCTTAGGCTTATGTTACTCGTAAGCCAAAGACCTTTGACTTTGACAATTGGACCCTTCGGAGAAATGTCACTGGTTCCTGCATTAGCTATTTTTAAAACAGCCTATACAATCACTACCTTTTTGCAACAATCCTAAAACAGTAAATAAAAAAATAGATGTGCAAAAGTTGATAGAAATAGTTTTTTGGCACGCCTGTTATTGTTAATAATAACAAACATATTTTTTGCTGCATATTTTTAGTAATATTGTTTGAGTAAGAAAATTAGTTTTTAAAAAGCACACATTTTTTTACTTTAAAAAGGAAAAAGTATATTAAGAAGAACTTAAAAAATTGAGAATACTAATATTATTAGGTGGACCACCCTGAATAAAGCTTTCCTAATAACATCTAATATTATATTATGAATATGGTATACCAAACCAATTTAACAAAAAACTCCGACACAAGCTTTATTAATATTAAAACCCTATATATGTACATATGTACATAAAAGGCGACACCTTTGTGCACCATGGTGTTATATGTGAATATATTCGGTTACTATACAGGGCGATTTAAAAAACCTGCCGCCAACTATTTGATTATATCAACGAAATCGCTTATATGTCAGTTCGGAGGCATACAAAGGATGATTACGTTGTACAGGATTTTTTCTGTTCAAAACTAAAGACGAAGCCGCACTAAAGATATGAAACAATTACATAGTCTTGCACTACTTATTGGGACTCGCTTGTTATTCTTGTAAGTTTTTTATTTTTCAAACCTGCAAATCCTGCAGTTTTTAAAGGAACCAATGGAGTCAGAAATTAAAGGGTAACAACAAGATTGTGTATTATTGAGCATCAAAATATAATGAAGTAAGTTAAAAAACTTGCTATGATTTTATTTTTTCTTTTAATTACTTTTTAAGAGTTGTTATCATGTTTATTCTGTAAGAAAAATATATACATTTTATTTAAAAATACAAAAAAAATTATGTTTAAAAAAATACTTCTAAAAGCAATTGCATTATTTTAGGTTAGTACTAGAACTAAACAGAGCTCTACATCAAGTTTTTACTACCATTGGAATTCCAGGCAACACACAGCAAACCTAGTAGCCATCATGGACGTAAGAAAAACAAATTAACAAATAATAATACAATTGACGTTTTTTTGTAGATCGAATTTGGAGGCATATGTTAACTTGTGTACTTATTTCAAAGAGCTTATTATACTGCCGACGAAATAAAATCACAGGTAGGCACACGGAAATGGTGTACTAACTTTATTGTAACTTTTACAAACATTTTGTTGATTTTTAATAAAAATTGATTTTAGAGCCTCAATGTGTCAACTTATTAGAGCCTCAATGTGTCAACTTATTTGCGACTCACACTACTCGTAAGAAATGTCACTGGTTCCTGCATTGAAGTTTTTTGAAACAGCCTATACAATCGTTACTTTTGTGCAACACATTAGACATATTAAATAAAATCATATATATAATGTACATTAGAAATAGTTACTTTTTGGCACACCTCTTGTTGTTAATTATGCAATAAATTGATGAACATAACAATTGTTTTATTTTACTTTACGGTAGTTTTGGTTAGTACCATAAACGTTCCAAATACTAAAATAATAACTTTTAAGTTATTAACTTTGTAGTTTTTAATTCGGGTTCCAGTTTCGAGATTTTAACTTGAAAAGGGACTACAAAGTAAAAATAATTATAATGTAATCTTTAGGTAGCAACTGAAAGTAACTGATACAAATTAAATCTTCTTGGGGGCAACCAAGTTTTACTTAAATGTTTATTACTTTATATTAACCATTTAAGGATGAAGTTTCTGTTACAAAATATTGCTATTTAAAGTTAGAATTACTTTTAAGTAAAAATATAAGTAGCTTTTTAGTATACTTAACTAATTTAAAGTTATCACCACTTTGGTAATGGTTTTTGGAACCAAAATAGCTGCTTGGGATAAAATCTGTAAGTAATACTTGACTGTTTTAATAAAATTTGAAATTTGTCGAAAAACATAAGTGAATTAAATATTGTACCACTTTAATTTGAATTATCTTAATTTGGGGGGCAGGAGGCTGGGGCACACTTAAAAACTAACTTTTTTTCGAAAACTTCAATTTAAATTCTGCTTGCGCAGAACTTGTCTATATAGTGTCATTATAAACTCATATAAATTTGATGTGGGTCCTACGAAGGCGTAGAAGGGCCAACAAAAATTTTATAAGTTTTAGCCAAAACTAACTTTGATTTTTGCAATTTCTATTCTATAATTGTAACTTGAACTTACAATTGTAACTTGAACTTACAATCAGGGCCGGCAGCTTTTCATTTTGACGTATGGTGCTCATCTACAGTTGTTGGTAGCAGTGGTTAATGGATGGGGGCAGTGGCGGCTGGTGGATTTTGAGTATAACGATATCTCAATTATTAGATATGGGACCACACCAAATTTATATGAGTTTATAATGACATTAAATAAACAAGTTCAGATCAAGCAGAATTTAATTTGAAGTTTGCGAAAAAAAGATAAATTTTTGCTCGGCCGTACCGGCCCCATGGCGCCCCCAATGAATTTAATATAAATTTAATTGGTGCAATTTATTATCTAGCATAATTTATGGACAATTTTCAAATTTCATTTAGAAAATCCAAATTATACCGATTTTATACCATTTTAAATTTTTAATATTTCTTTTCAAAGAAATAATAAAAATTAAAAATGATATAAAATCAGATTTTGGATTTTTTAAATAAAATTTGAAATTTGTCGATAAACTATGGTAAATAATAAATTGCACCAATTAAATTTATATTACCTATATTTATTTGATGTGGGTCCCATATCTAATAATTGAGATATCGGTATACCCAAAATCCACCAGCCGCCACTGATGGGGGGTGTGGGTGTTATTTTCCTTGGGGGTTGCGGGAAGGAGAACAAAATAAAATTGAAATAGTTTTTTAGTCAATTTATTTATCAAACTCAGTCACATTTTATATACAGAGAGAGCACACTACTAATTTTAGCACTAATATATCCCCCCGGAATGATTAAATTTAGTTTATATAGTTTTTTCGACAGTGCTTATTACGCGAGATATTTTAAAGTTTCAAGTTAAAAAACTCACCCTGTAATGGTATCGAATGGGATAGGTATATTACTGCCACATCGGACGTTTTAACGGTTACCACCTGCCATTTCTTGGATTAAGGGTTACCAGCATCAAAAATACGGGTTTAAAATAATTGTTTTAGATTTTGTTACGAGACAATTAAAACAGAGTTACTCTAGGTCCTATAGAGTCTAGGATTCGAACTAACTTACCTTTGTTGATAAAAAGTCGGGTATCTATCCACTAACACAATTGGTGGTAGCAAACAGAGATAATAAACAAACTGCACGAACTGTAAATAATAAGAATAATATAACTCAAAGTTTGGTCGGTTATCGTCGGTAGGTATAGTAGAAATACCCTAAATACACGTCGCGACGTGTCGGTATGTTATTCCTACACTGAGAAAAAAATGGGACAAATAAACTGTGTACCTAACACTTTTACTTGTAGTGAATATATTGTTTATTACCTCTAAATAGTCGAAATAATAATGATAAATATACTTTAGTAAAACTTTATGTGTCGGGAATAAAAATATATTTAGGATAAATAAACTGTACCCTTGTCCCATATTTAAATATTTTTTTTATTTGGGAGCAATAAACTTTTTTCTTAGTGTACTATATAGTATATACCAAGAGACATACACTTATAGCATAGAAATAATACTATTATTTAATAGTATTATTTCTCTGACTTAGAGCCGTTTCACATGCGACTGATAAAGTCCTGACGGTCAGTCCTGATGATACGGACTGACGGTCATGACCATTGTTTCACAAGCAACGTACAGTACGGAAATGTCTTTACTAGGGGACGGTTTTCAGCGCCTCCGGAACTACGCTGTTGCCGCTTTTTGTGTAAAGAGAATAATACAACGCAAAAAAATTCTTTTTTGCTTCCGCTAAATTTTCAAAATCCGGAAGTACCATTTCCGCTACTTCTTCAAATGCTATGTTCTTCACATCCCTATTTTTGTAGTTCTCATCATCTGCATACCAGATGCATCTTCGCTGTTCGATGCTACTTATTATAATTTCAGTACCTATCAATGCGTAAACTACTCATTGTGCAACACTGTTTCTGCTGATCGTACGTACTATATGAAATACTCCATATAACTAACAGCCCTTAATAGTCCTGACGGTACGCAGTGAGCACGGGCTGTCCCGATGCCCGTGCCGACGAATCAGTCAACCGATGATACGCAGTGCATGTGAAAAACTTCATTTAAACAATGGCCCCTATTCATCAGGACTGATCGTCAGGACTTTATCAGTCGCATGTGAAACGGCTCTTATACATACTATACCGACCGACTTTGATACTTTAAACTTTGGATTCCTCAGCTTCAACCGTAAATTTGTAGAGGGCGTTAGTGTGTATCCCTGACTACCAGGATAAAAAATTTAGAGACCGCAAAAGAAATGCAATTTTTCTGCTGAAGATACGTGTGGTGCTGAGCACCACCATTTTCCTTTACGTGTGGTGCTTGAGCCCGCAAGCACCGCTATTGTCGCCGGCCCTGCTTACAATTGTAACTTAAACTTACAATTGTAACTTGAACCTACAATTGTAAGTTCAAGTTACAATTGTAGGATAAACAAAGGTAAGTTTATTGTTTCTTCTCTCTATAGTATAACCAATTTAGTGTTTTAAATAGGTAGCTATGGAACAATATTTCAAAATGGGGCTTCAGCAAAAAGAAATATAATATTATTTAAAGGCAAGCATAACGTATTTATAAGCCCTATAATAGGGTGATTCAAAAAAAGCCTTTTTTTAAAAATGAACCCGCACTGGCCTAAATTATAAAGATTACATTAAAACTAAAAGATTGATACCAAAAAATCCAAATTCGATGAATATTTAGAGGTCGCTCAAATCGATTTTCGTATTTTTGCACATTTGAGCCGCGAAATTATTACTGCGCAAAATAGTAAATAACTCCGTTAGTTTTTAATCGATATTATTGAAAATTTAAGGGTTACCTAGTTTTTTAATACCCTCTGAGACAGTGTATTGAACTTAACGGAAAAATTTTTTTTTTCATAAAAAAAAATTATTTGTTAATAAAAACGTATCATCTTATAAAATAAGCAACAATTGGAATCGCACTATGATGGTACCGTAAAAAAACTAAGAAAATAACACTTAAATTATTTAGTATACAGAAAACCTGCCGAAAGAAATATTTTATTTGATTTATGTAAAATATAACCTAAAAATAATTAAGTAATTTAGATTTTTCCCATTTTCATACGATTTTATAAATAATTTATATCCGTTTTATTAATTATGACGTATTTTAATAATATTTCTTTATTTTTTATACCATATTTTATTAATTAAACTAGGTAGTTATTAAATTAGGTTCTTTTTACAACTAAAATAAAATAACGTTAACTACAAAATTATTCACTGCATTGATATGGCTTAAGCAGAAATTTAAATTTTATTAAATTATTGACATAGAACAATTCTCAAATTTTGATACCAAAATTATTTGATTCTGTCTAGATGGTGCTAAATTGACATACCTACCACAATAATAATTATTATTCTTAAATTTTGATAGTAGGACGTACCTACTACCAGGTAGTTGATAAATTATATAAATATAAATAAATATATATATATATATATTATTTACTTAATTCAAAAGCGTCTAAGTACCAAAACTAATTTGTTGAGAAATTAAAGAAAAACATCTTATACCTTGGTGGAGATAGATAGCATGCTCGATGGATGAACAAAGCTATATACTCTCTAAAGATTTTCTTATTTCGGGATCAATTTAAACTAACAATGAAAATAAGTCATTGCGTAGAATTTGTATTTTTATTATTTTGGTTTACATATTTGCCTGGTTCCAAGCTCCAAATGCAACTTGCGCGCCCAAAAATGGTTTGAAAACACTTCATGAACTTCATGTTTACAATAATTTGCAAATAGAAGAGCTAATTTGTTTGGCATTTTTTCATAAAAAAATAGGTACCTACTGAAACAAAAGAAAAAATGGTTGAAAAAATTAAATTAGAAACAATCATTGCAAAGAAAAAGATGTAGAGCAGTGGATTTTTTTTATTTTAATTATAAAAAGGACCTAATAACTACCGAGTTTAATTAATTAAATATGGTTTCAAAAATAAAAAAATATTATAAAAATACGTCATAATTAATAAAACGGATATATATTATTTATAAAATCGTATGAAACTGGGAAAACTTTGAATAACTTAATTATTTTTAGGTTATGTTTTATATAAATCAAATAAAATATTTCTTTCGGCAGGTTTTATGTATGCTAAATAATTTAAGTATTATTTTTTTAGTTTTTTTACGGTACCATCATAGTGCGATTCCAATTGTTGCTTATTTTATAAGATGATACGTTATTATTAACAAATTATTTTTTTTTCAAGAGAGAAATTTTTTTTTCCGTAAAGTTCAATTCACTGTTTCAGAGGGTATTAAAAAACTAGGTAACCCTTAAATTTTTAATAATATCGATTAAAAACTAACGGAGTTATTTACTATTTTGCGCAGTAATAATTTCGCGGCTCGAATGTGCAAAAATACGAAAATCGATTTGAGCGACCTCTAAATATTCATCGAATTTGGATTTTTTGGTATCAATCTTTTAGTTTTAATGTAAACTTTATAATTTAGGCCAGTGCGGGTTCATTTTTAAAAAAAGGCTTTTTTTGAATCACCCTACCCTATAACCTTAAAACGGCTTCTGTGCAGACTAGGGCTGCGATTATCAAAATTCATAATCGATTATTGATTATTTAAAATAATCGATTTTTTCGATTAATCGATTATTGATTAATCGATTTTTTGATTAATCGATTATTTGATTAATTAATTATTTGATTAATCGATTATAATTAAATAATTATTTGATTAATCGATAATATTATTAGTTTAAAAAAATGCGTTTGACCATTATAAGTTGGCGAAGCAAAGAAATGTTCATGCAATTTAGATTAATAATATTAAAAAACATACCTACTGAGTTATGTTTTTTATTATTATTTATATAAATTATATAATATTATTTATATTTAAAAAAATACGTTTTAAAAGCACACAACACGACAATTGTTGAATAACTAAATAACTTAATTCATTCGGTCCCCCAAATTATCGTGGACATTCTTTTTTTAAACAATAATAATTATTATTATAATAATAAAATAATCAATTAATCGATTAATCGATTTTTACAAAAAAAATAATCGATAATAATCGATAATAATCGATTGATCGATTATTTTGCCCACCCCTAGTGCAGAATCGATCTTGTAAGAAGAAAATTTAGTCATTTAGAGAATGTTTATGCTTTTACCCTGTTTCTTATCACTACTTCTGCCCAAGTTACAATTGTAACTTGAACCTACAAATTGTAAGTTCAAGTTACAATTGTAAGTTTAAGTTACAATTATAGAATAGAAATTGCAAAAATCAAAGTTATTTTGGCTAAAACTTGTAAAATTTTTGTTGGCCCTTCTACGCCTTCGTAGGGTCCCATCATGGGACTCCCATGTCTATGTCCCATGTCTAATAAATGAGATATGGGTTTGCCCAAAATCCACCAGCCGCCACTGTATAATATCATATATATGATAGCAGTCATATGACTGCTATTAGATGCCATCTAACAGACGCCAGTCATTGACTGGCGTCTGTTAGATGGCATCTAATAGATGCCGCTCAACTGAGGGGCTCAAAGTTTATTCCATCTCCAAACAAATTTGCAAGGCCTAATTTGAAATTATTTCAAAACATTGGCGGCCGTATTTTTAGTGGCGCCAACATATTAAGCATATTGACAGCCAGCGCGCAGTGTCACATATGTCAAAATATGGACAAAATTCGAAACAAGTTTAAAAAGACGTCAAGGTTTTTTCTTTAATTAAGTGTTTTAGAGATTTAATCGTATTTCGTAGGAATGCCCAAATATATTTTTAAAATTTTAAATACATAAAAAATTACTTTTGTCTGACTGGATTTGCAAAATTGAGCACTGTGCGTCTTAATTAATCAATGAGATCGTTTTTCGCGCACATCCGCGCATGCCTGTTGCATCCAGTGATGCCAAATTGGGCGATTTATCGCAAAAGGGTGATTTTAAGAAATAATTTGCGTAAAGTTTTTTTATGAAAACGCAAACCAACATTATAGCGATTTAAAATTTTTGCTTCATTATTTTTAAAATCTCTTTTGGCTATTCTTGAATTGAACTTAAGTTAAAATCTGTGTTTAGATAAAATCTACAGGTATTAACGTTAGCAAAAAGTGTTCAAACATTGGTCTCCAAAGTAATAATTTTGCCATACTGGCATTGGCGATTCTGGCCCAAAAGTTCGCCTCTGCTTTCAAACATCTGGCAACACTGCTTGCATCGCATTCGTCTCTGTGTCGTGAAGTTGGGTGTAACGCCAAGTCGTCGGCGAATTAAATCCGCCGAATTCATCGAATTATATCTTCAAAAACAGACAAATTTTCCGCCTGAAAAATGACCTGGGGCTTTGTCACTTGCGGACCCAACGAGGCGTTGGTTATCTCAGGTAACTATTTGATTATTTCGATGTAAACAAATGCATGCTATAAGCGATATGATAGGCGATAAATATCGGCGGGATATTCAAAATTAGATCAAAATTATAATAATTTAATTTAATTATTGTTTGAATAGTCGGTACTACCCAATTGACGCCCATTTTGGGTTTAATTAGTAGGTTTATTTGTGTTTAATTAGTGCGACCTTGAGTCGAGTTGTAAACAAACCTATACTTCATTCACAACAGAATATTGTTTATTTTATTATTGGACGTCTAAGTACATATTTAAAAATTATTTAAAAAGGGATAGGTACAAATTACTGATTAAAAATACCACAAACATAAACATTGCTACCAATATAATTAACAAACAAAAATTAAACAAATTAATTTTATTTTTTCCATTTAGGATGCTGCTACAGTAAACCTTTGCTAGTTCCTGGTGGTAGAGCATTTATTTGGCCATCAATACAGAGGATACAGAGGTATATATTTTTTAAAGCAATTTGTACAATATGTGCTTGAATACTTTTATCTCTTATAGACCGTTTTTTGTACCTCTTATAAGAAAATGTTTTTCTTAAAAACTGCTTAGATAATCAATATATGTAACCTAACCACTAACTAAAAGACTTCTAGTAGAAGTGCTTATATTAATTGGGTTAAAACTCTTAAAAACTCTCAAGGGTGAATTTCAATAGAATTATCCTTTCCATTGTGTAAATAGGAGCTTCATTTAGATGCGTGTATATAGGCAACCCAGACTACATAAATGGCTATTGTAAGCTGTGGCTGTTATAATTATTTTCTGGTCTTTATTATTATTATTTGAGGTTAGAAACCGTACCGCAAAATTTCATAATTTTAGAATATCCCTTAACACAATGACTCTCCAAGTGGACAGCCCCACTGTGTACACTAGCCAAGGAGTGCCAATATCTGTAACTGGAATAGCGCAAGTACTACCAGACACCACACCTTTACTAAAAAAAGCTCTACCAAAAACTTTTTAGGTAAAAATTCAAGGCCAAAATGAGGAAATGCTCTTAGCAGCTTGCGAGCAGTTTCTCGACAAAAATGAAAGCGAAATTCAGCATATTGCTTTAGTAACATTGGAAGGTGTGTATATTTATGAATACTCTCATTATTTTTAGGCATTTTGTACAGTTTAGATGGTTCTTATAATAATTATTTAGGTCACCAGAGGGCCATAATGGGCTCCATGACTGTAGAAGAGATCTACAAGGACCGCAAAAAGTTTAGCAAGCAAGTTTTTGAGGTCGCTTCTTCGGATCTAGTCAACATGGGCATCACAGTTGTTTCTTACACTTTGAAGGACATCAGGGATGAGGAGGTGAGTTTCGAGCGGAGGTTTAGTGGGGCGTTTGTTTATTTAATTTTCTGTTTTCTATGATTTGCAACACAAGGGTGCCAAGGTATGTTTAAAATACTATATTTTCGGTGTCTTGTATCTATTGGTGGTTTGCACAATAATTTTGAGTACTTCTGTGTAATATTTTAATGTATATGCGGTTGCATCTTGACCAAAAGGGTTCAGGGGCAGTGTTGCCACTGTTAGTACTTTTGTACTAGATCTAGTCCTAATTTATTTTTTAGTAGGTTAGTTTTACGCTTTAGCAAAATCTGGTGCTTTTTATTTATTCAATTCAAAGTGCAGTCATACGAATATTTGTAACTCAAAACCAAATATATGCATTATTAGTGCTGCCATCTGTGGCCAATTTCACCAATATAACATTTGGTACAATCTAGTACAAAATAGCTGCATTTTATTGCCCATTCTCCCTATTCTCCCTTAAATGAATGGTTGTTTTTTTGAGTCACAGAATGATTCTTCTGTCATTAATGTCATTCCGATGATTCCTTACTTTTGTTTGGAATCTTCAGAATGAGGCAGAGTGGGGGGATATTCCCCTGAAAAAAGTGCATTTAACAACCGCCAATTTTAAAAACTATTATGGTTTATAATAAACCCAGCAAGTAATAACTGTGCGTTATCCATATTTTTAAACTTTAAAAAGAAAATTGAGGTCACAATCCACACAATTGGTTATTAGGTTCATAAATTCCCCCACCTTTGGCAAAGTGACAGGGCTCAGAATGAATTTGCAAACGGGAATCATTCTGTTTTTATTCCATTCCACTTTCAACAAAATGAATGAGTGGGTTAAAACGACCACAAAAGCAAGTAAATTTCTAAAAGCAAACCTCCAATTGCTGTGTTAAAAATAATATGTTATATTTGTTTAATATTTTATTAAATTAAGTTTTATTAAAAACCAAACAATTTGCATTTTAAAAATGTTGGGCTTTAAGTAATGTTTGCTTGATAAGAATTTTAAGATAAGTACTAATTATTAAGTAGTTTAAAAAAAAATGGAATAAATAATATACAGGGTGATTCACCTAACTTATTCAGTAGAAGTTTATGGAGATCGGAAAAAAAATCGATTTGAAATTTGTATTGCATTTATAAGCCAATGTAAACTATTTTTTAAAATTATATTCAATTTTCCGGTTAAACCGGAAGTGATATCAACTTTGGTTTTTCAAATAGAACCATATAAATATTATTGCATTTTTAAATTCTACGTAAAATTTTAGAAATACTGAAATTTAATTTCATTTTTTTCAAAAATTTTGACTGTTGGATGGTGTTACTAATGTCTGTATTACCACTAATTGTAATGTTAAAAAGTTATTTTTTGATGTACCTGTTAACTAAAGAGCACTATATCGAAAGTCATTAATAGTATTTGAAATTTTATACAGGGTGTCTGGTATTTGCGTTGACTTTTTTGTCACTTTAAATACCAATAACTTTCTTAAATCAGAATAAGTCAGGTGAATCACCTAAATATTTTTTCCAAGGTTACATTGAAACTCCTTAGGAACACCAAGTACATAGTGTGTCTACTTAAGTTGGCAACTTATGGAAAACTTTCTTATTAATTTTATAAAGAAAAGTTATTCTTTATAAAAGTTCTGCTAAAATCTAAAATAAAATCATCAGATATTTTTTCAATCATATACAAGGTTTAGCAAAAAATATGAATTTGGTACAAGAGTAAAGTACCTTTATTTTAGGGTGCTAAAGTGTCGGAAAAAAAACCGGAAAAACTGTTGTTTTTTTTTGGAAAAAACTGAATTTTTTCCCGAAAAAATACACATTTTAAAAACAGTAGCAAATAGTTGTTTGGAATGAAAAACTATGTTTTAATATGCAATTACATCCTTCTACTTAAAAAATTTTTTTTACAAATTTTTCTCCAATAACCGATACCGAATATTTCGGTACCTTAGAATAACAAGGTTCTAAGTGCAGCTGCACTGTTAAGCGAAAGTGATTTATCTACAATATAACGAGCCCTAACCACATAATGTTCGGACACTTCATAATTTATACAGAAATTTTTTTCGTGAATACTATCTCAAAATTATTAGAAGTTATGAAAAATTCAGCTTACTTTGGCATATACCCCTCGAAGCGATTTTTATTTTTAAAAAGTTTACCTTTTATTTTTAGCTTTTAAAAAAAGGCTAACTTTTTAACTTTTTTTTGTATGAGTAAAAAAAGTTATAAATGGACCCATTAAAAAGAGCATAAAATATTATACAAACCCTGAAAATTTGGTAAAAAATAAATAAGTTATAAAAAAGTATAAGTAATTTAAAAATGCTATTTTTAAAGAGTTTTTGCAATTTTCTTAGGAAACGGGAGATTTTGCAGATATATATATCGCTATAACTTTCTTATTATTTATACAATTTTTACCAAATTTTCAGGGTTTGTATAATATATTATGTTCTTTTTAATGGGCCCATTTATAACTTTTTTTACTCATGCAAAAAAAAGTTAAAAAGTTAGCCTTTTTTTAAAAGCTAAAAATAAAAGGTAAACTTTTTAAAAATAAAAATCGCTTCGAGGGGTATATGCCAAAATAAGCTGAATTTTTCATAACTTCTAATAATTTTGAGATAGTATTCACGAAAAAAATGTCTGTATAAATTATGAAGTGTCCGAACATTATGTGGTTAGGGCTCGTAAATATCGCACATAAGGCATTTTTGCTTAACATGGCAACTGCACCTAGAACCTTGTTATTCTAAGGTACCGATTTATCTTTTTTATTTATTTTTATTCTTTCCGTTTCGTTCAGAAAGCAAAATAAGAAAATTCTGATGTTTTGACATTCAATGTCAAACATTCTTTGCTATCAAGAAATCATTTGTTTGTCAGTGCATCCTAGTTTACATGTAACTACGGTTACAATTGCATTGTTATTGTAAACAAAAAAGAAAAAAAAAGGATACTTTACTTTTGAGTAAGATTAATATATATTGACAAACCGCGTATACCACTGAAATTTTTTTATATCTGATGATTGTATTTTAGATTTTAGAACATGGAGAACTTTTTTTTTAAATTAATAATAAAAAGTTTCCCATATGTTGCCAACTTAAGTAGACACACTGTATATTTAATGGGACAGCACGTATTAACACAAAATGTTGTAGTTTTGCCCTCACTGGCACAGCTTCTTCATGTTATTTATCGTCTAATTTATTTTGTCTATTTATTTTTATATTTTTCTTTGGTTAAGGCCGCTTATTTATCATTTTATACATTGCTTCAATTATATGGCATTTCAGTATTTTCTGTTGACTTGCAAAGCCTCTTAAAGCATTCCCAGATAGCACACAAAGTCTTGAAGATGTCTTTTGTATGTCTGTATTATGACTGAACGTCTCAAGATCTAAAAAAGACGTTTGAAAGACGTCTTTTAATAGACGTCATTAAATGTTCTAAAGACATCTTATAAATGCCTTATACCGGCGTTTATTTTTTTTAATTTTTTGATAAAATAGTGAATTTTGACAAGTAAGATATAATTAGGTACCATCTTATTTTGGTTTAATAGAAACAACATTAATGTAGGATTTTAAGTTTTTACAACGATGATGTTTAGGGTAACTGAATAAATATACATCTGACATTCTTGTAGATTGGTTATTTTTTCTGCAATTAATAATATCCATTTGTAATAAAAACATTATTAGCTACCACAGTGTTCTACTCTGTGTTAGCTACATTTTAATTACTTAATACCTTAAAAACGTTTTGGCGATGTAGCAATGCATAACCAAGACTCTTTTAACATCTTAAAGTCTTTTTTAAGTTAAAGACGTCTTAATAACGTTTAGCGACGACTTAATAATGCCGTTAAAAGGACATCTTAAAGACGGTGTGTTTTGTAACATTAGATATCTTAAAGATGACTTGCGTCGTAAACTGGACGTCTTAGGGATGTCATAAACGTCCGAGTCCGACATCTTTAAGATATCTCTGTGCTATCTGGGTTCAAACCTTAAAATTTGACGTTTAGGGATACCTCAAAAGCCTCGGCATGGCGAGGACGGCCGAGGTGAAACGAGACGCGCGCATCGGCGAAGCGGAAGCCAGATGCGACGCGCAAATCAAGGAGGCCATCGCCGAGGAGCAGCGCATGGCCTCCGTGTTCCTGAACGACACGGAGATCGCCAAGGCGCGCCGCGATTTCGAGCTAAAAAAAGCCGCCTACGACGTCGAGGTGCAGACGAAGAGCGCCGAGGCGGAGATGGCGTACGAGCTGCAGGCGGCGAAGACGAAGCAGCGCATCAAGGAGGAGCAGATGCAGATCCAGGTGGTGGAGCGCACGCAGCAGATCGCCGTGCAGGACCAGGAGATCTCGAGGCGCGAGAGGGAACTCGAGGCCACGATCAGGCGGCCGGCCGAGGCCGAGAAGTACAGGCTGGAGAAGATCGCCGAGGCCAACAACAAGAGGATTTTGCTGGAGGCCGAGGCTGAGGCCGAGGCGTTGAGGCTGAAGGGCGAGGCCGAGGCGTTCGCTATTGAGGCTAAGGCTAAAGCCGAAGCCGAGCAGATGGCCAAGAAGGCCGAGGCTTGGAAGGAGTACAAGGACGCCGCCATGATCGATATGTTCTTGGATGTGTTGCCTAAGGTAAGATTTGGTTTGTTTTTAATAGATGGTAAAATTTAATATTACATATATATACAGTGTGTCGCACTTAAGATGAAGACACCCCCATATTTTGAAGGAATAAAGGTTTGAATTTTTTCACATTCATACACGTTGATGGGTCACATTTTTTAAGCTACTCAACTGAAATCTGAACTTTAAACTTGGCCTACTACAAATTCACAAACAGGACCAGTTCTCGATATTTTGCTTCGCGTTAGAGATATCGAAAAAAGTTATTGGAAAAAGTTGTTCAGAATATTATTCTAACCCCATATACCAATTTTTATAACAAAATTCGCATTTTTATTTTTTTTTATTTTGCTCCACACAAAATTATTACAAGTTCATTTTTTAGTTTGATAATAAGGGAGCCATGGAAAGTAATAATTTGATACTAACTAGTGTTTATGATCGTTAAATAAATAATTAAAACAAATTTTGGAACTTACAAATCAATTATAATTTATTAAATTAAGGAAATGGTATAAAACAATAATAAAACTAATAAAAATAGAAATGGGAATTTTGCTATGAAAATCGGTATACGGGGTTAGAATAATATTCTGAACAACTTTTTCTAATAATTTTTTTCGATATTTCTAACGCGAAGCAAAATATCGACAACTGGCCCCGTTTGTGAATTCGTAGTAGGCCAAGTTTAAAGTTCAGATTTTAGTTGAGTATCTTAACTAATGTGACCCACCAACACGTATGAATGTGGAAAAATTCAAAGCTCTATTACTTGAAATAGCAAAAATATGGGGGTGTCTTCATCTTAAATGCGACACACTGTATATATTAATTTTTTCTTTTTTTAATGTGTTAAATAGGAGTTATTATTAACTATATTTTAATCGAAAATTTTAAAGGTTTTTACTTTTTTTTTAAATAAATAATTTTTTTTTCTTATTTAAGGATTATTACGTATAATTAACTATATTTCCATAAAAAACATGAAAGTTTTAACTTTTAAATGCGTTTTTAGATGTTCATAGAGCGCCAATTGCGGAAATAACCCAATAATTTTTTTATTGCATAAAATATTTATTTTTTTATTTTTTACTTTATTAAGTAAGACTTATTACGTAGAATTAACTATATTTTACTACCTAAGGTAAGATTTGGTTTTTTTTTTAATCGGATAAGAAATATTAATACTTTCAAAAATAAATTGCACTGGAAATAATACGTTCAAAATAATACATTAATTAGAATTATACATGTCAAAGAAGTTATTCTTTTTTTTAAATATGTTATTAGGGTGTTTGGCTGTTTTTACTTAGGTATCGTTTAAATTGTTTGTTTATAGCCTAATAACAATTTAAAAAAAAAAAAAAAAAATTTCCGATGCCGCTTAACCCTACCTAAATGATGATACTTTTCCCTTTTATTTAACATGGAGTTTTTACACCTTTTGCAAATTATTTTTTACAAACAGTGTAAAAACTCCATGTTAAATTAATGGAAAAAGTATCGTCATTAAGGCAGAGTTAAGCGGCACCAAAAAACATATTTTTTTGTTCAAATTTGTTTTTAGGCTATAAACTAACTATTAAAAACGATACCCAAGTGAAAACATATTATTATAAGATATTAAATTATTTATTTAATGTATTTTTTCTGTCTGCAATATTTTTGTGACACATTAATATTTAACTTAATCTTTTTTATCAAAAAGCAGCGTTTTGCGGAAAAAATTTAATAACTTTTTTATTACAAATAAATATTGATTTTTTCTTTTTTTTTTAATGTGTTAAATAGGAGTTATTTGGTATAATTAACTATGTTTTAATCGAAATTTTTAAAGGTTTTTATTTTTTAAATGCGTTTTTAGATTATCATAAAGCACTGTTTTGCAGAAATAATTCACAAACTTTTTTATTAAAAATAAATATCAATTTTTTCTTTTTTACTGTATTATATAGGGATTATTACGTATAATTAACTATATTTCAATCAAAAAACATAAAGGTTTTTAATTTTTAAATGCGTTTTTAGATGTTCATAGAGCGTCAACTGCGGAAATAACCCAATAATTTTTTTATTGCTAAAAATTTTAATATTTTATTTTTTACTTTGTTAATTTTAATCGAAAAACATAAGGGTTTTAATTTTTTAAATGCTTTTTTAGATGTTCGCGGTGAAACGATTGCAAAAATAATTCAATAACTTTTTTATTGTAAATAAATACATGTTTTTTAACTATCTTTAACACTTTAAGAAATAAATAAACATAATTTGAATTTTAACATTTATTCCATTAATAATTCCTTAACTTCTTCATCAAGCTCATATTTTACAAATTTTGTATTTCTCCTAAGTAACGTTATTAGGGGGTCAGACGATATTAAAAGACGATGAAATATATTCTCGTTTGTTGATTTTTTAAAATCCTTATTTCTAGATTCTCAAGCTTCCTCAGAAAGTAATGTTTTACCTAATAGTGTTTACCTTTAAATATGCAAAACAAGGGGTTATTAATTAATTTACAAAATATTTTCCCTTTAAAAGGAACAAAGGATTATCTTAATATCTACCTAATTATCGTCATAAAAATGTCCATAATAAAAAGTTTTTAAAAATGCATAAATATTAATTTAACTAACAAAATAATATGTAAAATGTTAAAAATATTCGTCGGGAAAAATGTGTGTCAAATTAAAATAATTATTATTATGCCTAGACATATATTATAATAATAAATTGCTATTTTTCCTACCTGTTTCTATTAAATTTAAATTAAATTTATGCTTGACATAATTTTATTTATTTATTATATAAGACACAATTAAAATTTTTATCATTAATGATAAAAATTATATATTCCATAATTTTAAAAAACCTACTTGAATTTTCTTTCACATTTAAAACATTAACGATTAAAAAGTGAACTGTAAGATGCGTTTTTGTTTCTTAGGTGGCGGCCGAGGTGGCAGCTCCTCTTTCGCAAGCCAAGAAGATCACGATGGTTTCTACCGGTTCCGGCGAGGTGGGGGCGGCAAAATTGACCGGCGAGGTTTTGGATATCGTCAATAGGGTGCCGGCTCTCGTCAAAACGATGACCGGCGTGGACATATCCAAAGTAAGTCTTAACCGGCAATCCAGCAAGCTAACCGCTTAGTAAGAGTAGTTGCGGTAGATGGCGCGCAACAATTTTTTTACGTTTACGTTTTCTAGTCCGTGCACGCAGCATAGAGCGAGGGAAGTTGGGCCGAAAATTTGTACTGCACATACATTTGAGCCTTACAGCCATGCCTAGCAAAGTGTCGACTGTATTTTACTAAACTAACGCGTTCAAGGTCCAAATATTCTTATTAGATACTACTTACTCGTTTTATCTACTTATATGAAAATTATAATCTCAATTTTAGATCTAAATGTTGGTTTCTTATGATATTGACTTCAAATATAAGCCTTACCCAAATGTAAATGTCTATTTTTAAACATAATTATGTACCGTATTTTGTATGATACGCTATGTTGTCTTCTTCATTTTTATTTTTGTTGATTACCTGTGTTTTTGTTTTTATTATAAAAAGTATTTTATATAAATAAAAATTATATTTAATTCAAGTGTTTTACTTACCTTAATCCATATTTAGCTTTTTACCTATTTCAAGTGTTCTTTTACTACAGTTTTACACAATAAAAAGTAAAAAATCAATCATTATGATACTAAGCATAATTTTTTTTAAGCTACAAAAATAAAAAATTCAAAAGAAGTTCCACAAAATTACACGTGCAAGAGTAACAAAAAGGCTGGACAAAGTGAAATAAGAAAAATAAAAAATAATTTTTTAAAAGTAAAAAAAAATCACGCCGATCTGTTAAAAGAGAAACAAAAAAAGTACAATAAAAAAAATTACGTTGAAAATACGTTTAATCCAAAAGCGCGAACACTCAATATTTTTTTTCATTTTATATTTCTAAAATAGGTTGTAGGTCATAACTTCGAGAAAATTTGATTTTAATTTTTTTACATATTTTTGAATATTTTTTTGTTTTGCCTATAACTTTAAATTTTAGTATACTTTATTTTGATGAAAAATATTTATTTATAAACCACATAAATTATAATATATAATTATTATTTTCTTTAGCAAAAATAGTTTATCAGGGCTGTATTTCACAAAATTCATTTTAAGTGAAAATATAAAAGTTGATATTTTTTATTATTAATTTTAAAATTGTTTTTAATGAACTAGTATTAACTTTATAAAGTATACTTAAATACACTGCGCGTCAAAATTAACTCATAATAAGTAAAAAACATTTAACTCTAAAACGCCTTTACTAATCTTTATGAAATTTTGTATAAAAATACTTATATCTCAGTTTACCCAACCCTCGGGTTTTCGAGAAAATATTTTTAAAGCCCTTTTATTTAATAATAAAAAAACGTTTAAAAAATAACTTTTAGGGAATTTTTTTGTAAGTAAATAAAAAATATGCTGTACAAATCAAACGAACAGTAACGAAGTGCTTCAAAGTCGGTAAAAATGACTCCTTTTTGATTATTTTGATTTTTTTATTAAATAAAAGGGATTTAAGGATATTTTCTTGAAAAATCCTTGAACACGTAAACAGATATGATATATTATATTAATACATATATGTATTAATATAATATATCATATATGTTTAAGTTAAGCTTAAATTAAGTTTAAGTTAATTTTTAGCTAATAAGATTAGTTTTACTTTTAGTAAAATTTAAATACAAAAAATTTAACGCATAATAAGTAAAAAAATCTTACTCTAAAACGCCTTTACCAATCTTTATAAAATTTTGAATAAAAATACTTCAACTTACATAATATGTAATAATATATATAATATATATAATATATATATATATATAATATATATATATATATAATATATATATATATATAATGAAGACTAAGAGTAATTTTAATCTAAACCTAATCCAAATGAAACCAAAACTAATACACATAACGAACTATTCAACTAATGTTAAATATTCAAACTATTGTTTAATTTTACCAGTTTACAAGTTTAATTAACTTTTGATAAATTTTAATTAAATTTATTTTTAAGGTAAATCCATTGTTTGCAAGTTAAAAAAAAAATTTAAACAAAAATTATTAACATTGATTTTTTACTTGGATCTACTTTTAAAGAGCACGACCCTGATAAATTAACTTTTTTATAAAAAAAATATTTTTTTTAAACTATTATGATTTTAGTTACCTATTTTAAATTAATTTGCGTCATGACAATAAAATATACTAAAATTATTAGAAGGGATGAACTATAAACTAATTAAATTTTGAGCTTAAAATGACCTCCAGAAACATAAAATTCGAGTGTTTGCACTTTTGGGTTAAACGTATTTTTAACGTACAGTGCGATCCTTTGCTGCGTAAAAAAGGGATAAAAAAGAAAAAAATTAAATAAAAAAAATCAAAAGTCCAAAAAATCACGTCAATCCGTTGCTTCGTAAGAAAGAAACAAAAATAGATGGATGGATTTTAATTTATTGTTGTAATATGATTTTTAAAAATAACAGAAGTAAATTTAAAAAAGTTTATATGCTACAACATCTACTTATGTCAGTTTCATGATATGTTTTAATGATTTAGGTAATGCCAATTTGAAAAAGCTTTATAGGTATTGGTTGGGTATTCTGATGTTACTGTATAAACAGATTTCTAATATTTTCGTAGATTTTATCTTACATGTGAGTCACATTTTAATCTAAATAGATGTGGTTGATAGAGTACCTATATCTAAGGTATGAACTAATCCAACATGGGTATGTCAAGCTAATTAGGTAGGTATTTATAATATAATGCACGACTGTCCTCTAATGACTAGGTTGTCCTTTGCAGTGATTCAAGGGCCTTTTTAAAAGCAGTACTGTACCAAGTAAATTATGATATTTTAACTTTTAAAGTTAAAAGTTAAAAATATTTAAACTAAAAATAAAACACCCTGTATAACTCCGGAAATGAGAAAAAATACATTATATTTCAAGGAAACCTCTAAATTCATCAAATTAGTATCACTAAATTTTTAAATAATTATAAATATTAATGTTAAGTTCCTGCAGGCATGCCTATAGCTATAGCTATAGCTATACGGTAACGGACATTAATTCCGTGCTTTACCTTGTGATTATTTTTTGCCACCGAGGTCGATAAAATTAGTGTCGTTCAAATAAGCAGAAACTTAAGCACAGTCTACAAAATGATAAATTTCCCTATAAGGTGCAAAGAAACTTACTGCACAAATAATAAATTCTTTACAAATTACACAATTTATCGCATATATAAAAAATTTATGATCCTATTACAATATATCATCATAAACATAATTACGTAATGACAGATAATTTTTACATTATTTGTAAAAGGATTTTAATTGTTAATTGTTAAAGTGTACAATAAGCAAGACATGTTGATAACCAAAAAACACCCTGTATATATTTTTTGAACATATGCCTATAGATTACCTTGATCCCTCTTATCTAATCCCGACTGCAATAAAAAGCGTATTTATAGTAATTTGAAATTGATTTAATACAATAAATGTATTCATATTTGATTATTAATGAATTAGTTTTTAAAAATATATTTTGTTTACGAAAGATAAATAGGGTCAACGTTATTTTTTAGTCTAAATACATAAATAATTATTTAGGATTTTTATTTTTTAATAAATGCAAATTTATGACAGAATAAACTTAAAAAAAATATTCGTATATGTTAAGCATTGAAATCTGAGAACTAAGACCTTTTTATGATCGAATATAATTATAATTAACATTTACGGTAAAGTTCAAATTTTGTTGTTGTCAATCAAATAATAACACTGTGAGACGAATTATCAATAAAAAAAACTAAAATTAAATCTGAAAAATATATTTTTTTTAATTGAGCATTATTATTATTATTAATATTATCAATTAAAAATAGCATAAATATACAAATATTTCAATTGTGATTAACGACATAATTTCTAATTAAAACTACAAACCCAGTTTTAAATCAATTCGGATAAGAATAGATGTGACCAGTCAGTCGATCGTGACATAATTATTCGTAGTAAAACCGAATTCTATTGGGTTTTATTGAGAAACATTTAAATTTTATGCTTTTAAACAAAAATAAACAGACTTTGGGAATATGATACAAATTCGCAGTTGTTTATTATTATGTATGTATGTATGTATGTGTACCCTAAATACCTACATATCAAAATTTGCGAAACTGTATGTCTCGAGTGTTTGATAAGTTTGATAAACGCCATTTTAGTCACGAATTTTAATTAGGCACGAGCGAAGTATTAAAAAAAGTTTTGGTTTTAGGAATCTGTTTTACCGGCAGTGTTAGTTTCTTCAAAAATCGACTAACAAACGTTTAAATCCGATATTGAAGCAAAAAATCGGCAAATACTATAATAAGCTTTTCAAATTTTTTTGTAGTTTTGTATTGAGATGATAAAATAACTTTCACATTTTAGTATTATATCACAAGGGTGACGTATTTTGACCTTTCTATGAAATTTGTCAACTAACCAAATCTAACTTCAGCCCGTGACTAAAACGCCATAAAGCACAGCTTATCAATTAGTAGAAAAAATTATCTAAAAATTGTGTTACATATGTATGTTTTTAGTGTTGCCAAGTGTATATAATATAATATGATAGGATTTAAATTTAGAGTAAATATTTTATATTTACGCACACTTGATATGTATGCAGTAAGTAAATATGTACCAACCTAGGTGGATCAGGTTTCCTAAGTATTTTTTTCCTAGAAATAAACAGTATTTTTTCATTTAAGTCTATTTATTTATGTATATAAAATAATTGTGAAGAATTTTCTTATCACGTTTAAAAACCGAAATTCGCGACATTGGATTTTTTATTGAATGCTCTAATAACCAAGTTTATATATTCTAAGGTAGAGACCATTGGCCTCTAGATAGATAGGTACTTCTTTGACTATTATATCTAAATAGACTAAATATATTAAAAATTGCGTTGTTTGTTTAAAGAAAAAAAATACCCGGACAATAGACAATTATATGATGTCAATTTTCAAGGTAGGTATTAAATTATATTTGTCGCTTAGTTTATACCCCGTAACCTATCTGAATGCTAGCAAAGAACAAAGTGCTGTTGTCTGAATTCCAGATACTTAATCTCGACTGGAATTGAATGGACGTTTAGACGAAAAAAAAATTGAAGGAGAGGAATTTAATGAGAGTGCGCTACGTACGAAGATTGCTAGCGTGGCGATAGCACAAACATTCAAATTGAAACGCTAAACGCGCTTCGAAATTTTGCGGGATCGGCTTTGTCAGAGAAAAAAGTTGTGTTCACTGCGTTAAAAATGCGTTAAATAGTGAATGTGACAATAGTTCAATGTTCACGTGTTTTTTTTATTAAATAACTATTAAAATAGAGTTAGTTATGTTGTGTGTGCTTGTGCTATTTATTTTTATTATTCCATGTATGTTCCCAATTGATATAGTATCGTTTTTATTAGTTTAAATATTTCTTCATACAGGGTGTTTTCTAAGTGCGTAGAGAACATTTTTACTATCAAAAAATTACTTATTTTAATACATAATACACATACGAATTTGGTGTTTAAATATTATTTATTAAGTTTTTTAACAGTAGATATAATAAAAATGTTTGACTTCGCACAAAAAAGAATTAAACACAGCAAAATGAACAAACAATTTTTATCCAAAATTGTTGATGCTAACAAAATCCTAACAAATAATTAACAAATAATTAACCAAATAATAATGTATTCAAATTAAAAAGGCATGGTAAAAATTATGTAACGTAATATATATGATAACAGCGTGTCTAAATTTACTAAATATTATTAATTTGTTCAGTAAATAACCATTTAATTTTAATTACATTTTGTTATTTAAGTAATATTTGTATTACTCAATAAGACAAATAAATTGTTACTAAATGGATGGTAAAATTTGATATTCAAGGCTGATTTTGGTACTTAAATAAAAGTATGATATTTTATAAATTTTAGTCTCTCTATTTCTCTTTTTTTTTTTGATGTTGCTTCATACTAAAATACAAATAATTTTTTTTAATATATGTCCTAAAAAATTAAGTATGTTTCGGCATGTTTCGGTATGATGCTAGGGGCGAAAAAATTATTAAAGTATTTTTTACTGTTAACCAAAACGGTTTTATAACGGAATAGATACGAAAAATTACCAAATTTGGGGAATGGTTTATTTTGTTTTTACCTACATAATTAACCTTTTTGATCTACTAAGAGAATAACGTAATAAAAACAATATAAATACCACAAATTTACGTAAAAATAACGCTATAATTACTAACTCTTTGCTCTCTCTTTCTAAAACATTGACATTCATAATTTCTTTGTTCTTTTAATTTATGTTTACAAAATGGTACATACAAAGTAATAAAGGCCACCCTAGAGTAAAATTAAAAAATATAACTTAAATTGTCAAAACTAATAATATTTTGCATTAAAACTCAAACGCACATTATTTTATTGATAAAAATAGGCACGATACATCTTAAAAATTATATGCCCCCTAAATATTTTACGGTTTTAAGAAAAATTATTGCTTGGTTAAAAATTCAACAAAACTTAAAACCTACAAAATTTTATAAAATCTTTTAAAAATCATTTACTTTTAATCATTTTTAATAACTAAAACTTTCCTTATTATATTTTAGAAAAATATTTATGAAAAAATATTATATAAATGTTTAGATAAGTAATGGATGTCATTTTAAAAAACTTATTGTGGCGACCTGAAAAAAGTTTTCCCTTAAAGTTTTATTTTTCACTTTAAGCTTATTTTTCCTTGTTTAGTCAATATTAATAGTATTTATTACCACTAATAACCCTAAAAAATACCAGGTGAATAGGAATTATTTACGGTTATATATAACTTTATAAAGTGGTCTTAATATCGTAAAATTATGACTTATGAGTAACATTTACCATTAAGTAAAAATTCTGACGATAAAATTACCGTTAAATTTTCCTTTAGGTGAAATACACTTATAACTTATAAGTTATAAGTAATTTTCTTTCGTAAAAGTTAATTCCCTCATAATACTTTAAATGGTTGAAACCTAAGGGTTATTAAAATAAATAAAAATAACATAAATAAAACTTAAAAAAAAGTATTAAGTACTTTAAAGTAAATTTTTAGGGTTAATTTAAAAAAAAATTACTTAAATTAAGTAATATTGCCTCAAAGCTCTACGCTTTTACCTAAAATGCTGTGAAACTATTTCTCCACCAATTACAAACGTGTTGCCTATCTTTACGCTGCCTATTCGTTTTCAGCGTTAATTTGAAATTTAAATTTAAAATGAAAATCTTTGTGTCTAGTATTATCCCATCCCATATAAAATGTTAAATAATTTTAGGCCTATACCTTTATTATGTAAAAATATTTAAAAGACAATAATATTCCATTTTAATAGTAAATTTATTAAACAATTATTGTACAATAAATACCCTTGTTTTTATATGTTTTGTATTTTAAAAATGATGTGTTTGTAATGAATATTGCATCTATAAGTATGTAATATGACACAATTTCTTTATTTATATCGACACAGTATCGAATTAGATTGCAATTCTAGCTAAAGATTTTTTAATTATTAATTTTTTTATTAGTTTAGCAAAAATATTTCTCATATTTAATTTTGGTTTATATGTAGGTATATTCAAAAATAAATATAATTTGAATATTTGTAATAGTTAAAATTAAATTAATATAATAACCACATTATTTAATTTAAATAATTTATTCAAGACTTTTTTATTATTTACCATAAAAAGAATAAAAATGTATGAACCACTGTGCTAAACATCATCAAATAAATTTTTACTGTGTACTGTATTTTAGATAGTGTTCAAATTTCGCCTGCCTGTTCAAATAACTTTATAAGCCTAGGACGAAAATGCTACTTCTTTGGAAACAATGAGGAAACCTGGATGAACGCACATCACGAATGTGTTGAAAAAAATAGCAGTCTGGCTACTTTAATAAACCCACATCAGCATAATTTGATCAAAAAATATGTTAATGCCAAGTTTAGCCAAGGTAATAAAATTGCTTTATTAGTTATTCGTTGATGGATATAAAATGTACAGTTCGTTTTTTTTTGTTTGGTCTACTTAAAGTATCTAAGATATATACTTTATCTTAGTATCTTAGATACTTTCAAATAGTATCTTAGTTACTTTCTAAAGTATCTTGTAACTAAAGATACTTTCAACTGTTTAAAGTATCTTAGAAAAGTAAGTAGATACTTTTCAAAAGTAACTTTCCCTGCTCTAGTGACAGCGTATACAATTTGGAGGTTTTATTGACCCACTTCTGATATCTTTATTATTATTTAAGAAAGAGTAGAAAGATGGATTGGTGGCCGGTTCAATGAAAAACAAAGAATTTGGGTTTGGGGCGATTCTGGAAAACCGATCAAATACAAATCATTTGGGAATGAAGAAATAAACGATAATTTTAAATTACAATGTTTGGTGATGGATCAGAATCAAAATAATAAGTAAGTTCATTTACTATAGAAAAACGATTTTATAAGATGGAAAGTTTATTTTCATCAAATTGTTTCCAGGTCAAAATTGTAGTAAATAACAAAATTTTTGTTTTAGTTGGAGTATTCAAAATTGTTTGGCAAAGAGACGGTACATTTGCCAGACAAACTTCAAAAATTCAAAACCTAGAAAAGGAAGAAGATCCAAATATGATGTGCCAGCACCTTTAAGTAATCAAGCAAATTAGTTTTTTCGTTATTTCCTACATATTCAATTTTAGCTAAAATTACAGTTCCCAAAAACGTCAATATAACAAAACACAAGAAAAATGTAAATTACGCATGCCCTCCAAACATGTACCTGATAGGGAAAAAGTGTTATTTCTTCGGTGACGAGCAAATAACATGGCGTGAGGCGTATTACGCGTGTCAAGAAAATAATACGAATCTTGCAGTTATTAAAAATAAAAAGCACGATTTTAAAATCAGGGAGTTTTTGAGCGATGGCTTCATAGGTGAGTCCACAATGTTTCTAGTGTTGGAAGAGTCAGAGTCAAAGAGTTTCAACGTTTATTAATTTCAGAAGACTCCGACAGATGGTTAGGGGGAATATATGATTATGGCAGAAAAAAATGGAAGTGGCCGAATGGAAACACTTTGACATATACGGGATTTGCCAGAATTGGATTAAGAAATAAAAATACCAGATTTTCCACAATATTCATGGATCGAAAATTACAATACAGGTATATCGAAAATATCCGTTGTTTTCAATGACAAATTCAATTCTAAAATTTCAATTTTCACTTTAAATATTAGAAGCTTTTACACTATCCCAAGTATTTGAAGAAGTAACGTATGCATCTAAAGTTTTGGGAACTTTTCAAACATGAATTCAGCAAGTTACAAGTTACCATTGTTTACAATTATTCGTTGCAACCTTGATGTTTCAAATTTCTCAATAACATGTCGTATAAATTTGAAATTCGAAAAAGTATCTACAACCTTGTTGGACGGCTATCGGAACGTGAAATTGAGGCAATGGACTTTTAGCAGTTCGTTAAATGAGGTTATTATAATATATATTATAATATATTGTCTAGTGTAAGATTAGTTTAATGTTACAAGTTGTTCACTTAAATATATTTTTGTGTTAAAACTTTAGATGCACACGTTAGAAATCTACTAGATTTTCAAGACTCCTTTGCTTACCCTATTGTAAATGACCAATAGAATCCAATGAAAAATAAGTAATTGGTTTAAAATGTGTTGGCGCTATGAATCACCAATTCATTCCAGTTGAATTCCTATTGGTAATTTCCAATGTGATGGCTAAATCCAATAGAAAGGCACATGGAATGAATTGTTAATTCATAGCGCCAAACCCATTCCAACCAATTAAAACCAATTAATTTTTTAAAATTTGGATTAGAAAATACCTACCAGTTTATTTTTCATTCAAAAATAATTTTAGATTCCAGAAGGATAACCGGGTAAAAACTAGAATTCATTTTTCACAGAAGAGACAAAAATTTCTGTGGGTAAAAGGCATAAGGGGATAAGTCAAAAAAAGCAATTTTTCGGTAGAGATTTAAACGTGTTCGCATTAATTCAGGAAATATATTTATGGTTAGCGAGCATACCCTTTTGCTAGCAAATGACATGTGCTGGCAAAAGGATATACCCGCTAACCATAAATGTATTTCCTAAATTAATGCAAACACGTTTAAGGCACTACTAAAAAATTGATTGTTTTGACTTATCCCCTTATGCCTTTTACCCACAGATTTATTGTTGCTGAGTAATTTTATTTCTTTATTATTTTTTTGTGTTATATAACTTACTCTCACAAAAAAGTAATAAAAAATAAATAAAATTACTCGGTTATAATCATTTTTTGTCTTTCTTGCAAAGGATCTTTGTAGGCTTGGTCGAAGTCGATATTATTTATGTCAATTTTTTTTTATTTTGTCCGCTGTGACAACCATTCTTACGCCATCGTCCCTAAACCTTACACATATAAAAAATTTTTAAGATACAAGTACACTACTATCACTAGGCACTTAACACAGAAATCGACTAATAAAAAAAACCGCTAATAAATGGCGCCCAAAGACTTGTTTATGATGGCGTCTCAACCTTGTTGATTTTGCGCAGCTACACGAGAGCCCTCTTGCGATATTTGTATTTTATTGGGAATAACCAATTAGCAGATTTTTCGAATCTTACACTGGGAATGCCCAATTGAATTCAATTGGAAATGACCTATAGGTAGCTTTATCCAATCGAAACCGCTAAAAACAGTAGAATCCTAATTGGATTTTTCCATATTTTAAAGTATTGGGAATAACCAATTAACAGATTCCTTTTTAGAATCTTACACTGGAAATGCCCAATTGAATTTAATTGGAAATTACCTATAGGTAGCTTTATCCAATCGAATCCAATAAAAAACATAGAATCCTAATTGGACTTTTCCATCAAGGAAAATACCAGTAAAAACCAATTTCTGTTTTATATCGCGCCCAATTAAATCCAGTAAGTCCAATTCAGACCCATTGATACAAACCAATACTTCAATTGAATACGTCAATGCAGAAACTGAATATGTCCTACCTATCTAGTTTTGAGATAAATAAGAAAAACTGAACAGAAAGTGGACATGTTCTGGACATATTCAATTTCTCTACTATATTAACGCCTTTGTATAATCTAGATTACCGTGACATGTGAAATTTCTACGCCATTCGATCGGGCACCCTTTACTTATAGTAAATCCATGTTTAACTCAATATCCCTAAAAAGTGGACATATTCAGTTTCTGCATTGACCTATTCAATTGGTTTCTACAGGAAGATTTGTTTTATTCTTCAGTGGAATTCAGGATTTTGGGCTATTTGTACGGAAGTCCAATAAAAACTGGAGGATATAAACTTCCTTCAGCTCAATTATTTCCTAAGACAACATCTTGTGTGCATAGCTTCTTCATACCTACCTACCTTGAATAACTTAAAGCAAAAATAAAACCTTTTGTTTCAGATGGAACATTGACAATAAGATGAAGAAAAAAGGGTACATTTGCCAAACAAACGCGAAGGAAGTAGTTGTTGTGGGCAACTTGACAACACAGCGTAAGCATGTTAAAAAACCTGATGCTGTCGTTGTTATAAAAGATACCAATGTTGATAATAACACAATAGATTAACCTAGTTTATATTGAGAGAATAAATTCCTAATGTTTTATATTGGGTAATCTGATTACACAAGGAGTATTTTGATTGTAAATACATGTTAAATTAGTAGTTTATGGTGTTTTATTTTTACCTAACAGTTGAGGGATTCATCGGTTTCAACAGCAGTTATACTGCAAACAAGCTGCTTCAGACAATTTCTATCGCAACCCTCCTTCAGAAGAGGATCACTATCTTTAACACGATATCTAAAACATATGTATCATTTCCCATTGAAATCTGTTAAATCAATTAATTACTTGAAATATTCGGCAATCGATGCTTCATTTCTTCTTAATATGTCAACAAGATTAGCCATTTGTGTGGAACCGGTATTGTCCAAACCATAGGCTTGCTTAAAGGAGTAAAGCTTAAACCATCTAGGTTTGATGGAACCATCATTTTGGAGGTTGGCTTCGGTCATATTGAATACGAAGTTATCAAAGTCCACAACATTCTAAAAAAATATAATTTTTGTCCGAAAATGTAAGTGTAAATAACTTACAAAATTATTTTTGTCGACAATGTAGATTCGGTAGTTGGGATTTAATCCAGTGTAGGTGGTAAAGCTACCCCCATTAAAAGCAACATTAATGACTTTGGATCCGTTAAAAAACACTCTAAGCTCGTCATAATGGGTGTGGCCGTTAAATTGGGCGGTAATTGTTTCGGAAAACCTGAAAATTGATTCCCTGATAGCACACTTTATTCCAAGAATATTTTTTAAACCTTCCAGTGAGAATATTCTTAGGATCATGCTATATTTCTTCTAAATAACATGCTTAAAAGACATATAGCTTGATCCTGAGAATATTCTTACAGGCGTATAGGCAGGTTCTTAGAAGGTGCAAAATTTAGTGGTAAAAATTAATCTACTCTAAACATATGCTTAGAATGTTAAGAAAGTAATTGCTATAGAAAGTTCATTTAGGAATATTCCTATATTTAGTTCAGTTACCTATATACCTAATAGTAAAATATACCATACCATACCATATCATACCATACCAACTACGTATAAAGGTATATACCTATACTTAAGTACCTACCTAATTAGTAATTTGTATTAAATTCTAAGTAAAAAACACATTCCAAAATATTTTTTTATAGTTATTTGTCAAATTAAAACAATATTCGATAACAAAAATACTTTTACTATAGGTATTTTATTTTATGTTAAAAATAAATATTTATTAATTTGTATACCGATTTTTTTATTTCTGAATTAACATTTTTATGTATAATAATTCTTACTATCTTCAACTTCAATCTAATCTGATTTATCCCACAAAATTTTCCAATTTTACTTTTTATGAAATAATGTCATACAACTTATGGTTTAGAGGTCAAATTAATATGTCGCAAATTTTTTTAAGGGGACGACATATACATTTCACTGTCATATTATGAGAGTGAGGCGTATTTTTCGTCTCCTGAAGAATTTTACGAATGTAGAATACAACATATTAGAACGTGGGTATCTGACATATTTGGAAATATTCTCAAAAGCTTCCTAGAAGCTCCAGAAGAAACCTTCTAAGAACATTCTTAAAATGTTCTTAGGATGCTTTTTAGGAAGCCCTTGTGGAAATTTTTCTCTGAGAAAGTCTTACTTTCTCTTAAAAAGTCTGAATAATACTTATTAAGTCGGAAAAAGTCAGAATAAGACTTATTAAGTCGGAAAAAGTCTGACTAATAAAAAGATTTGGGAGTCTTCTGAAAGAGATAATAAGACTTTTTAAGACTTAATAAGACTTTTAGTAGAGAAATGGCGATAAAAATAAATATCCGAAATAATTCATATTTGGTTATCGTAAAATAAAACACATAGAAAAGTATTTATTAACATTTTTGCTGTTGTTATAAGCCAAGTTTATTGCATAATTACCTATATAATAACATAGGTAAGATGTAATAATTATAACAATTACCTATAATTTTATACATACGATGCGCTTGACATGCTTTCATTGTTTCCACCATAGAAAAAGGAGTTAATATCATGTCTATAGACATGATATTTTCGATAGACTCATAAGACAAATATGGTTGATCTTCGTGTTTCATTCATCTGATGATCAACCGTTGATCTTCGTGTTTACGTACAGTGTTGCCATAAAAGTTCCTGACCATAAATTACTAAATTCTAAAATAATAATAAAAATGTAACACGATAGAATAAAATAATTGTGCATATTTAGTAAATATACAATATTATTTACTGAAAATTTATTTTGTTATTATTTTGATAGAAATTCGCAAATCACCCGATTTCACCCGCAAATTTTACGAAAATACCCGATTTTCGAGTAAAATACTTGCAAACGGCAACACTGTGTCCCACTGACAGGCCAGCTGTGCTCTAATTGGTCAGCTAGCTGAGCTGGTCTCTCGATATTACGTCTAGAAGATTTTTTTGTAACAATGTTTAGATAGGTAAATATTTGCGTGTATCAAAAGAAACTATTAAAATAAAACGTACAGTGGCAACTCCTTTTTCTATGGTGGAAACAATGAAAGCATGTCAAGCGCATCGAATGTATAAACTTATAATTGTTATAATTATTACATCTTACCTATATTATTATATAGGTAATTATGCAATAAACTTGGCTTATAACAACAGCAAAAATGTTAATAAATACTTTTCTATGTGTTTTATTTTACGATAACCAAATATGAATTATTTCGGGTATTTATTTTTATCGCCATGGGTACCTACCATTTCTCTACTAAAAGTCTTAAAAAGTCTTATTAACTCTTCCAGAAGACTCCCAAATCTTGCTATTAGTCTGACTTAATAAGACTTATTCAGACTTTTTCCGACTTAATAAGTATTATTCAGACTTTTTAAAAGAAAGTAAGACTTTCTCAGAGAAAAAGTTCCACCAGGGAGGTTTTAAGAAGCTTTTAAGAATCTAATTGCATCATTGAAAGGGTATCTATTGAATGTTTTAAAAGTCCCTAAGAACATTCTTAGCAATAAGGGAAGGTTCTAAGAATATTCCATTATTCCGGGTCATATCTTCATAGAAATATCTACCTACCTCTCGACTATTCTTCTGAACTGGTTGCTCCACTGCCTGTGGCATTCGACTTCACCTGGAGGGATATGCGACAGGACGTGGACTTTCTCCTTATTTTTTTCCGCTTCCGCCAAAACATCCACTAGCCATTGAAGCTGTCCGTTCGGGTCTTTATCGTCGTAGATCAACCACCTTGAAATCAAGTCACAATGAAAACACCAATAACTTTTTGAATTTCAAACGTACAAATTGTTTTTGTAGCAGACGTTGCTGTTCAGAGCGACAACTCTGATGCCTTTTTTGACCAAAACCGTGTAAAATCCTCCCTTTTTGATCGTCGGTTTGGTGTGAGCTGGAAGCCATCTGGACCACTCATCAGCCACCAAATCGAACACCCACTGCGTCGATATTTTGGATCTCGACTGAGATTCTGGAGAGTAACTAAAAATGATTTCATGGTGTATATTTTTTTGCAAATGCTGATTCGTACGTACAAATCTGTAGGGTGAGGCTCGTGGTTCCCCAAAATCGGAAAAATATTCGAAGCGTTAGGAAAAGTTTCGTCAAAAAGTTGGTTGATCTGCTTGATGGCTTTGGTATTGTTCTCTACGGTGGTGACCCAAGAACGGTGGCTGATTATGTCGCCCGTAAAATATATTAAATCGTATTTCTGGAAGGTAAAATATCCTAGATTGCCCTTGTGGAAATTTTTCTCTGAGAAAGTTTTAATAAGAGTTTTGAAATTCTTACTGCCTCTTAAAAAGTCTGAATAAGACTTATTAAGTCGGAAAAAGTCTGAATAAGTCTTAGTAAGTCAGACTAATAGCAAGATGGAAGAGTTAATAAGACCTTTTAAGACTTAATAAAACTTTTAGCAGATAAATAGTAGGTACCTATAGCGATTTTAAATAAATATCCGGAATTATTCAGAGATGTTGAATTTGGTTATTGCAAAAGAAAGCACAACGAAAAGTATTTATAAACACTGTTTTTGTGTTGTTATAACTTATGAGGCTTATAAAAACACGGAAGCAATGTTTACAATATAGGTAAACAAACTTTATTTTAATTGAACAGAATAAAACAGTTGGGAGATACGTTTGGTTTGTGTACATACATATCCCTTGTTGATTAAGTACATAAGGTATAATAACTATAACAATTCTTCGCAACGCATAGGCGTGATATGGTCGACAGTCGTGAATTGTGTTTTATACAGTGTTGCCGATGTCATAAAAGTTCCCGACCAAAAAGACAAAATACTAAAAAAACTAGTTATATTTTAAATTTACTAGCGCATTCGCCCTGTTTAAAAAAAATTAATTAAATTAATTTAAAAAAAAATTATAAGTAAATAAAAATGTGACTGCTAAAGAACATACCTTGTTGTGTAGGTTGTGGGTTAGATGAATATTTGCTCATAAAAAGAAACTATTAAAATAAAACGTACAGTGGCAACAATAAAAGCAAGTCAAGCGCATCGTATGTAAAAAATTATACTTGTTATAATTAATATATTATTATATGTTATTATATAGGTAATTATGCAATAAACTTGGCTTACTACCACCCCCGTAAAATGCTAATAAATACTTTTCTTTGTGTTTTATTTTATAATAATCAAATACAATACGGAATACAATAATTCCGGATATTTATTTTTGTCGCTATAGTTGGGTTCCTACCATAACTCTTCTAGAAGACTCCCAAATCTTGCTATTAGTCTGACTTACTAAGACTTGTTCAGACTTTTTCCGACTTAGTAAGTCTTATTTTGACTTTTTCCGACTTAATAAGTATTATTCAGATTTTTTAAGAAAAACTAAAGCTACATTCGTAATGAATTCGCTGGCCGAGTGACACTTTGGCACGCAAGTCGGCACGAAATTTACCATTCACAATAACTTTAGAGTCGAATTTAACGCATGGGCGTTGGTAACTGTCATGTTCTTTGTAAGGTTAGAATTTGCATTATTTTGTTTTTGCTTGGTGTTATTTTTTAAATGCAAAAATGGACAACAATCAATCAAATAGTTTACTTATGTTGTGTAATAGTTTATTTAGTGATAAATTCTTATTAAAATGTGTTACAAAACACTAATGTTCTCTTTATATATATAATAAATAATAATAATAAACTAGTATACATTAAGTTACATACATACATACATACATTTACATTATCAATGGGTAGTTTATTTAAATAAAGCAAGAAAAATGTATTTAATCACATTAAAAACACTACACACACAAAACTCAACGCCATTGAAAATGTCAAACCTTCATAACAAAGGCAATGCGCATGTCGCATAGCCGGCACGAAAGTCGAAGTTGAAGTCGAAGTTTGCAGCTTGCAAGAAATTTTGCCCACTTTAACTTCCACTTTAACGTCGAATTTCATTGTGAACGATCACACTGTTACACATTTGCTTAGCTTGCGAGTCAAATTGCCACTCGGCCAGCGAATTCATTACGAATGTAGCTTAAGACGTTAAAAACTCTTATTTTTACTTATTAAAACTTTTTCAGAGAAAGATTTCCACAAGGGTGCATATCCCAGGACCAAGGTTTGGGAAAGAAATTTCCTACATTTATTGGGGTCCATGATAACTCACCTCTTTTTTCACCTGTTCCATTAAATTTTCGATGGAATGCCACGGCATATCGCAGCTGTGGTAATCTCCCCAGTAACCAGCTGCACTATCAGGTGACTTAGGCGCCCCCTTCTGGCAGCACAGCGGTTCTCCGCAATCAGCTTCAGATCCAGGTGTGTAATCCGGATCGTAATGGATATCCGTTATTTGCAGGATCTTCATTGTTTCCGAAGCGTTAGGTGGCGCTGATGTCTCTTCATTTGGGGTCAACGGTGGGGGAATGTTGACGGTCCATTTGTCCGCCTGGGGATCCACACATTTATGCGTTGGCATGTATATTGCGCATACTCTTTCCGGAGTTAGATTGCGTTTGTTGTCGATTATAAACAGAATGGTGTCCTAGGTAAATTTTAATTAACATGTATTGTACTGTACAAGCTAAAAATATTGATTTACTATTTCAATTTCGGCATATCCATCGCAGGGAATCGAACCCCAGTCTGTGAACTTCTTGCAAAACTTTTTTATGTACTCGACCATGGACTGCCTGTTTGCACCCGATCTTCTATAACTGATAATGACGTCGATGGCGATGGCACATGCATCACATACTGTGCGATCTTTCAATTGGTGCGGCGTAATCGAATAAAGTTCCGGTAAAGTTGTCTCGTCGGTATCATTTTCTTTGGTTATTAGGTTCTCTGCTATTGCTTTAACATTCCTTAATATGTCTACAAAATATGTATTGACCATACTGTTCATCCGACAAAAATAATTTCCAACTTACCTTGTTCTTGTAAACTAGCAGTTGCACATAAAGCCAACAGTGAAAAGGCAAAGAAAACCTTCACCAAGGTTGCCATGTTAAAGACTAAAGACTAAATAGGCAGGCAATTGAATACTGTTGCAAACAAATAACAGTTAATAATGAAATGAGTGCATCATCACAAATACAGTCTTGAGGGCACCTGATAATTTGTTATCACCCATTGTTTATAAATTCAAAATTCTATTAATGCTTATTTTGCATTCTTTTTGATAAAAATTATATGCGTTCTGTTTTATAATATTAAAAGGAAGACTTTTATAATATTATTAATAATAATAGTTTATTTAGCAAAATACCTATAACAAATAAAACACTCAAAAAAGGTCAAAAACAAGTAAAAATAAATAAAAACCCCTTTTCAAAAACAAAATCAAAGTAAAATAAATAAAATTATTATTATAAACTATAATTTTAAGATATAGCGAGAAAAATTATAAAAATTAATATTTACGCGTTTTGAAAAAAATTGTATGTGTTCTGTTTTATAATATTAATAATAATAATAATAGTTTATTTAGCAAAATACCTATAACTTTACATTGTTTTTACATTTATAAGATTTACAACTGCTAGAAACATGAGTTTGAAAAAGTCCAGAAAAGTTTTCCAAATTAAGTAAAAATGTTCAAAAATCAAGTAAAAATAATAGTAATAATTAATTAAATAAAAACACTCAAACAGAATAAAAAAGTCAAAAACAAGTAAAAAAAATAAAAACCCCTCTTCAAAAACATAAAAAAACAAAATCAAAGTAATCAAAGTAAAAAAATAAAAATAAATTATAATTTTAAGATATAAATATAAATTATAATTTTAAGATACCTAGCTAAATTAATATATATATATACGCGTTTAAAAGCGTGGTAAAAAAAACAAAAATCAAATAATAGTATATTAAAGAACTAACGCGGACAATTTATTTATGTAATGGACGAGTGCGACAAAAGGTCTTATGACATGAGTTCTTTATGCTATTTTATCTATTTTGGAAAAATTCTATAAAAAAAAATTATTTTATACCTTTTAATTTGGTGGAATTTTAGTTTAGATAGTTGGTATCACAGACACTGGTTTGACAGTTAATGTCAAAATCGATTCGCCATGCCGTCCTTAATTTACTTATTTACAATAAGCTGCAGTTAATGTTAAAGATAAAAAAAGGATTTTCTTTGGTGTTAAACAAAATGTATTGCCAGAAAAGTCTCGTAAGTACTAGAAAAATCATAAAAATATTATAACCAATATGCTGTTTAAAGTATAGCCAACCTATAAAATCAAAATTTTGGGTGGGATAAAGTATCTCATTACAGCACCGAAAGTGTTGTTATACTGAAGTCATTATGAACGCAAAATAGATAAAAAAGATTAAAAAAAAATAGTTACTGTTTAAAAAGGAGTAAAAAGTAAAAAAACGATGATTGCAATAACATGTTATCAGAAAAAGGAAAAAATAACAAAAACAAGTAAAAAAATTAAAAAACCCTTTTTAAAAATGTAAAAACCCAAGTAAAAGTCAAAATTTTAAATTAATTTTTAACCTGAGCCCTGACCACAAAAAAATAAGAAAGATTAGTTAAAAGTAAGAAAAAAACATAATTTTTATTTCAACAAGGATTTTTTTTACTCTGAAGTTTCAAATGTTTAAATTAATTTTTTACCTGAGTCCCAACCACTTAAAAAAAAATTAAAAATTCTAAAAGTGGGAAACCATCATATTATTGTTTTCAAACGCACAATCGAACGTAATTAATGGAAGAAAACTTAGTTTTAATAACAACTCCATATCTAAATTTACAAATTGGAGATAGGATTGTAATAGGGATTATTTTAGTAAAACAATTTTTTAATAGGTGACCATATGAACTAGCCATTAAAATATTTATTATCAATAATATAAAACATGTTTAATGGAACATATTAAATTATGATTCCGCCATTTCCACGTCATCAATGACCAAATCGTCCAACATTTCTTCCAAAGTAACATGCGGCATATTTGGATCAAAGTCGTCGTTTGAATCAACCGGAATCGCTTTTGAAGCATCCTTGAAAATGTTGATGTTTTGTCTAAGGGCTGGATCTTCTTCCAGATCGTCCAGAAAGTCGTTATATTCACTAAAAATTAAAATTGTTAGGAACATAGGTCATTCCAAATGACTTCATCAAAAAAATTTTTTTGATGATATCATTTGGGATTACTGCATGTACAAACTCATACTTGGTTTCCCTATCAAAAGCCATCTCATCATCTGCAAGATGCTTAAGTTTCCAGGCCCTCTGCCTCCTTATCAGAGCCTTGTCGTAATACTTCTTCACCAAAACCACGTCCTGAACTTTACTTTTGTCGATTTTTTCAAAGTGCGCGTCATTTATGTTGCTGTCCATGACATTGTAGCCCAATACGGAATCGCCGGGTTTCAGAACATGCCCCAAATGCGTTCTGGTATGGGTTGTGTTATCGTTTATACCCAATTCCGACGCTCTAACCAGCCAGACGTCGGCCAATACGTGCCTCGTGCTGATTTGGCCCTGACCAGGGAACACTTTGCGTTCCTTGTCCATGATAGGCTCAATATCCATCACTATGTACTCCACTAGTTGCTTTGGGTTGCAAATTGATTGGAATGGGTTGCGATAGTACACGGTACTATTTACCTCAGCGACTAAAGATAATAATAAAATTGTTGTGACTGGCAAAATTATTGAAAAAATTCATTTAAAAATGAAACCCCCTTTTTTCTCTGTTTCCGTATTTAAATACTACGAAATATTTGGAGAACGCTAGAGACAAAAGTTTTTTACATCTAGTAGTGAGTATTTGTTTTAAATTATATGCTAACAAAGAAATAGAAAATAAAAAACTGATCTTATGAAAATTTCTTCCAACACTTTTTAATTTTATCTCGGAATTTTTAAGTTTTAGAAATTTCAATACTCGTTTGAAACCTACTCGTATATTGGAATATCGAGTACGTATTCGAATTTTTAAAAAGGTATTCAAATATTAATACATTAACCAGGTCCAGTGAAGTTTCACTAGTTTTAGAGATTTTTGAGCCAATATAGAGATTTAATAAAAACTTCTTATAATATTAATTATTGTATCTGTTTTTTACTTATCAAACAGATAAAAACAAAAAACTTAATAATTTTATAGAAGGTAACTACCTAAGTTTTTTTGTTTTTTTTTAAATAAGAAAGAAAAATAAATTTAAAAAACAAGATAACTAAGTTTTTTATAATGTAATAAGAAAAATAAATAAAAATAATTAAAAATGCTAAAATTAAGGTAAACTAGATTAAAAAATATTAACTCTTTAGAACTTTGTTTTTTATAATAAAATAAAAAACAAAAAGAAAATTAACAAACTTAATAATTTTATGGAAGATTACTCCTTTTTTTATTTTTTATAATAAAATAAGAAAGAAAAAACAAAAAGAAAATCAAAAAACCAGATAATTAAGTTTTTTTTTGTTTTTATAATGAAATCAGAAAGAAAAACAAAAAGAAAAATAAATAAAAACAATTAAAAATGCTAAAATAAAAAATTAAGTTGTTTTTTCGAAAAACTTATTACTATGGTTTTTGCAAAGTTTTTTAATCACTCGTTTTTAAAAGAGCTTTACAAAAAAAAATATTTTTATAAAATTTAAAAATTTTTTTCAATTTATTGTTGAGTTGTTTTTGCAAATTAACTACCTATGTTCTTATAATAAAATTAAATAAAACAAAAAACTTAATAATTTTATAGAAGGTAACTAAGTTTTATTTGTTTTTTTTTATTAAAAAACAAGAAAGAAAAAACAAATTTAAAAAAACAAGATAACTAACTTTTTTTATAATGTAATAAGAAAAATAAATAAAAATAATTAAAAATGCTAAAATTAGGGTTTTTTAAAGACTTAATAATTTTAAATAAATTAACAGAGAAATACGATTTTTTAAAGTGATTATTTTTTTAAAATTACATGCTAACAAAGAAATAGAAAATAAAAACTGAAACTGAAATAAAATATTTTGAGAAAGTTTATGAAAATTTCTTCCAATACTTTTTAATTTTATCTAGGAATTTTTAAGTTTTAGAAGTTTGCATACTCGTTTGAAAAGTATTTTGAATATTCGAATAGGTATTCGAGTATTCGAATATTCGGGTATTCAAATATTCGTGTACCTACTCGTATATTCGAATATCGAGTACGTATTCGAATATTCAAATAATCGAATTCTCTCTCCAGTGGAGCCAATCTAGAGATTTAATAAAAACTTCTTAAAATATTAATTTTTGTATCTGTTTTTTACTTATCAAACAGATAATAATAATTATTATTATTAAAAAAAGTTATTATTAAACATCTAGGCTATACGTTTTTTTCCGCAAAAGTAGCCTAGAGTAGCCTATTAATTAATGCATGCATTAATTAATAAAGACATTATTATTATTAAAAAAAACGATTTTTTTCGAGCCTCCTTTGAAATAATAATATAATAAATAATAATAAAATTTCACAATAATTTTTCAAACTTAAACTTTCACAATAATTTTTTTTGTCATTTAATGACAAAAAAAATTATTGTGAAAGTTTGAGTCCATAATATTAATATTAAGAGCAATTTTATATATTTTTTCCTGAGCGAGTTTTTGTCTCAGAACTCCCAATCCATTAAGTTTAACAAAATTTGATTAATTTGATCTTTTAAGTTTGAAATTTTTTAATTCATGTAAAAATCAGTACCCTGAAAAAAAACCGATAGATATTTTTATGAAAAATCAAATGCTCTACAAAAAAGCATTTTTGGCTAAATTCACTCCATCAAAAGTTATTCAAGGTTAAAGTTAAAGTCAAAACGAAATTTTTTGTTTTTCCGCTGTACATTTTTTTGGGTCAGTTAAAAACATGAATTCTTTTATCGAATTTTTTCGCTTTAAGAAGTTATTTTCTTTAGAAAATATCATTTTCACTGTTGTTTAATTGTTTAAATAATAACAATAATACACATTTATAAAGAAAAAAATCAAATTATCATCCATAAAAAAATAAATCTACAGAGGAAAAAACAAGATTTCCCATAAGAATATTTATCGTTTTTTTTTCGGGTACCGATTTTTACATGAATTACAAAATTTCAAATTTAAAAGACCAAATTGTAAAACTATACCAATTTTTAAGGAATGATTTTAAGGAAACGGCTCATCTGACGGCAAATTTCATTTGGACCTTTTTTGTAGAGCATTCCATTTCCTTAAAAAAATATATCTGAGTCAATTTTGTTCAACTCAATGGTTTGAGAGTTCCGAGACAAAAACTCGCTCAGGAAAAAAAAATTAAAATTGCGATGATAGACCTCTTAATATTAATATTATGGACTCAAACTTTCACAATATTTTTTTTTGTCACCTAAACAATATTTTTTTCAAATTTCTGTTTTTTTTTGGGTTTTAAGTTGCATCTTTTTTTTTATTTTGTCAATTGTATTTTTATTTTGTAGTTTTTTAATAAAAAGAAAAATTTAAAAAAATGCTTTTACTCTCTTTTGACTCCCGATTTTGTATATTGTAATATACCTATGTTTTTTTGGTTTATAACACCATTAACCTTATAAAAAAATAAACTTATAACAAAATATAAATGAAGGTAAATTTTGATGTATTTTTTATACCCCACAACGCAGGTCTCGTAATTTTTTATCACCACACGGTTATTGCTTACTTTGAGCTGACAGCGGATCGATGAGATGAAGCCCGTTGGTGACCCTGTACACCAAGCAAATGGGGGAAATCCCGCCCAAAGACTGGGTCAGTTTTTTCGGCAGACACACGACGCTGTCCTTGGACACTGGAACGATGTCCACCGAGTAGGTGAACTTGTAGTTGTAGACGTTGCTGTGGATGTCGTGCGAGATTAATTTTTTCGAGTGCTGGTATTTGCAGGGCAAGACGGCCGCGATGAAGTCGACCATCTTGCGCGCGTGGCCCTCGCTGGTGTAGAAGAAGTCCAGCCCGCCGTGGTTGGGTTTTATGCCCAACGTGTTTTCGTGCGCTTTGTGTTTCAGGATCAGTTGTTCCAAGTAGAAGAAGGTTTTTTTGTTTTCGGCTTTTTGTCTAACCTAAACGTCAAAATTATCCGAATAAGACGTTTTTTTTATTTATTTGTTTTGAATTAACTTTTGAATACTTTAGTTTCTTTTTGTTTTCAATTTGTTGTTTTATTTTTTTTTGCAAATTAATGGAGAAATAAAAACATAAAAACTTAATAATTTTATAGAAGATAACTAAGTTTTTTTGTTTTTATAATAAAAATACAAAAAGAAAAACAAAAAACAATTCAAAATTCTAAAATGAAAAGTTAAGTCTTTAATAAAAAAACTTAATAATAAGATTAAATTATGTTTTTTGTAAAGTTTATTCAAAAAACAATTTAACGCTTCAAAAGTCATAGGTTTTTTTATAAAATTTAAAAATTGTAAATCATTCATTTTTAAGTTTATTTTTGTTTTAATTAATTGTTTTATTTTTTTGAAAATTAACTTCGTTTTTATAATAAAATAAGAAATTACAAAAAACTTCATAATTTTATAGAAGATAACTAAGTTTTTTTTTGTTTTTTTATAATAAGAAAAATAAATATAAACAAAAACAATTAAAAATGCTAAAATTAAAAATTAAGGTGTTTTTAAAAAACTTTTTTTTATAAAAGAGGACTTTCAATATTATGTTTATTATTAAGTTAATTAAAAAACAATTTAACTCTTCAAAATATTAACAAAGAAATACGTTTATTTAAATCACTAGTTTTTGAATAAACTTTACAAAAAAACTTAACAATTTTATAGAAGGTAACTAAGTTTTGTTGGTTTTTTATAATGAAATAACAAAGAAAAAACAAAATCAAAAGACCAGATAACTACCTACTAAGTTTTTTTTTATTTTTTATAATGAAATAAAACAAAAAATATAAAAAATAAAACAATTTATCAATGCTAAAATTAAAAATTAAGGGTTTTTATGAAAAAATTAATAATTTTATAGAAGATGACTTTCAATATTATGTGTTTTGCAAAGATCATTAAAAAACAATTTAACTCTTCAAAAATTAACAAAGAACACTCGTTTTGAATGAACTTAACAAAAAAAACTTATTTTTATAAAATTTAAAAATTGTAATTTATAAGTTTCTTTTTGATTTTAATTACCTAATTGTTTTATTTTTTGCAAACTAACTGTTTTTTTAAAAAAATAAGAAATAAAAAACAAAAAAAACTTAATAATTTAATGGAAGGTAACCAAGTTTATTTGTTTTTTATAATGATAAGAAAGAAAAAACAAAATCAAAATACCAGATATCTACTTAAGTTTTTTTATTTTTTATAATGAAATAAGACAAAAAAATTAAAAAAAAAACAATTTATCAATGCTAAAATTAAAAATTAAGGGTTTTATGACAAATTTAATAATTTTATAGAAGATGACTCAATATTATGTGTTTTGCAAAGTTCATTAAAAAACAATTTAACTCTTCAAAAACAAAGAATACTACTATTTAAAAAACTAGTTTTTGAATGAACTTATTTTTATAAAATTTAAAAACTCTAAACCATTAATTTTTAAGTTTCTTTTTGATTTCAATTTATTATGTTATTTTTTGCAAAATAACTTTGTGTTTATAGGAAATAAAAAACAAAACAACTTATTTATTTTATGGAAGATAATTAATTTTTGTTTTATTTTTTAAAATGAAATAAGACAAAAAAATAAAAACAATTAAAATAGGTATCTAATATTTAATAAAAACAATTGAACTCTTCAAAAAAAATAACAAAGAAATACGTTATTTTGTGGAGTAGTGATATATTGGGACTTTTAAAATTATAATTTTAAAAGTCCCAAGGGATATATCACATTTTATAATATCTTAAAATTTTTATTAGAGATCCAAGCCAAAAAAATTTTGTAATCTTGTAATTTTAATATGTTGTTGATATTTGTTAGTTTTTATATACTTGAAACTTTACAAAAAACATATTTTTATAAAATTTTAAAATTTTAAACTATTCATTTTTATTATTTTTACTTTTTGTTTTCAGTTTATTGTTTTATTTTTTGATAATTAACTTTTTAGCAATTACCTATAATAAAATAAGGAATAAAAAACAAAAAACCTTTTGATTTTACGGAAGATAACTAGGTTTTTTTGTTTGTTTTTTTATAATGAATTAAGAAAGAAAAAACAAAATTATCAAAAAACCAGATAACTATTTTTTTTAAATTTTTTATAACGAAATAAAACAAAAAAATAAAACCAAAAAAACAATTAAAAATGCTAAAATTAAAAAAGGGGTTTTTTTGAAAAACTTAATAATTTTATAGAAGATGACTTGTAAAGTACAATAAAAATCAATTTAACTCTTTAAAAAAATTAACAAAGAAATACCTAGGTACGGTTTTTATCATCACTTGTTTTTGAATGATAAAATTTAAAAATTGAAAACCAATAATTTTTGCTAATTTTTAAGTTTCATTTTGTTTTCAATTTATTGTTTTATTTTTTTGCAAATTAACTTTGTTTTTATAATATTATAAGAAATAATTTTATAGAAGAAACTTTAAAGTACCAATTTATTTTTTAATAATTTTTTTTTAATAATAATGAAATATTTTGTTTTTCTTTCTTAAAGAAAGAAAAACAAAAACAGTTTTTATGTTTTTTATAATTAAATAACAAAGAATAATAATTAAAAATGGTACTTTTAGTAGAATTAAGGTTATTTATACCATGCACTACACTAAAAAAAATAAATACCTGTACTAATGACCTCCAAAAATCCTGAGCCTCTGATCTGTGGCACTCATCGCACATATGATGGTTGATGACGTATTCGACCACAAAAACCTGTTGCAAGACTGCTCCTCCAACCACTTCCCCATGAACAGTCAATTTCACCTAAATCCAACACAACATTATCAAGGAAAACAACGTTCGTAACAAACACACCTTGATACGTTTGGAGTGCGGCTCAGTCCACACAAACGAGGCGTCAATAAGCTTGACCCTGCTCAAACCTTTGAGCTTTTTCAGGCACAGCGAAAGCAACTCCCGGGATTCCAACGCGCAGCTCACCCATTCCGCAGGAGGCTGCAAATACCTCTCGCAACCTCTGCAGAAATAGATCACAACCTGTTTCGGAATGCCCTCCGTTATGTCCACTTGGGACCGCAAACAGGCAACGCACATGTTCGCCGGGTTCGGCTCTATAGGAATGCCACATTCGCAACACAATCTTAAAAACAACATATTATTATTATTATCGTTAATTTTACTTTAAACGCTCCACTTACATTTTATTTTTGGTAATTTCAACCGCCGATGGTTCCGGAAGGTATTCCATGTTGATTTATTAACGTGTTCTTGCAAAAACACTCAAAGAAATAACGCACATGCGACGTCAAGTCAACATAACCTCAAAAAATGACGTTTGGGGTGTTTAACATATGCAACAACAATACTAACGAACATTGGTGGTTGCCTAACAATTTCAAATAAAACATAAAATTATATTGTAATTTTGTTTAAAGTAATTAAAGAACTACGAGACTTTTACTATAAAAGCAAGTTATAGTAGAAGCGTATTTATTAGGCCGTAATTGCGCTGCTTTTGCAAATATTTGTCGTTTCGCAGTGACAGTTCTAAATGACAGCTATTTATAGGTTATCCAATTGTCAAAAATACATAACATAATAAAACTAAATCCTGTGCAAAGACCGAATGGAGGTTTATTGGTTTGCTTAGAGGCACTGATAACGCATTGTTTGTTGTATAAATAATCAGTGAGTGATGGAGCTTCACCAGCAAAAGCAGCAGCGACAAATAGCAGGTCAACTGTACAAATACACAAATGTAATGAAGGGCTGGCAGTACCGATACTTCTTGGTGGACGCCAACGCGGGACTGCTGCACTATTACTTGTGCAGCGACAACGAAAAGCCAGACGGGAATGTGCCAAGAGGCTCGGTGCATTTAGCAGGGGCTGTCATTTGCCCCAGCGAAGAGGATTCTAAAACTTTCACGGTGAATTGCGCGTCCGGGGACATGCTGAAACTCCGCGCGGCCGACGCCAGAGCCAGACAGGAGTGGGTTAATGGTTTACGGGCTGTAGCCGAGTCGCACACTAAGGTACTGTATGCAGGGTGTTTACGATGTGTATATGTTGACAATTTGCAGACTATAAGCGCTAACAGCCCCCCGCTGCCGCCCAGGGAGCACCTCGCCGTGATGGACGCCTTGGGTTGCGCCCGAGCGCAGATTCAACAGACAGAACAAAGCGATTTGGCCGTATGCCGGTTGATTGAGTCTTCGGGGCCCAAATATCACTTGGATCAGAATTTGCTAATGTTGAAAGCGACCTCGGCGGCGACTTTGCACTGCTTGACTCAGTGTTTGAGCATTTTGCAGAGGAACCAGCACGCCCAACAGGCTAGAACAGGGTTTGTTATAGACGACGATTAATACAGAATTATTAGTCATTGCTTTGATGTGCTTAGTTGTCTCTGTTGCCCTAAACCATTACATTAGACATACATAGGACTAGTTTATGTTTAATGTACGATTTTGCAACAATTTCCATTTAATTTTAACTACAGAAAGACTGTTAAACCTCTGTACCTATTTGGTTGTTTTTTTTTTATTTAAAAATAGGTACCTACTCATTAACATTTTAAATTGTAGGTAGGTATGTTTTGTTATTTTCTTTTTATAAGTAGTGGTTTTTTTATCAAGCAATTCAGCAGAAATATACGTTAATAACTTCACGCACTTTTTAGGTTACAAATTTTTTTGAGTATAAGCTTATTCCTGACTAAAATGTACGAATTTATAAACATTATAAACAGTATTAACTTTTTAATGATTAGTGATAATATAAATAATGTTTTTAACACAATTTTAAATTACTTATAGGATTGTGAACATTAGAATAAGTTCAAAACAAAAATTAAAAAGAAAGAGACCAAGATGTTGTGCAAGGAGCAGCTTTTGAATTGGTATTTTGTATATAGATATTGTAAATAAGTTAATATAATTTCAATAAAACTTTTAAAATTCGAACTGTTCTTTAATTTTTTTCATACAATCACCTTCCCAGACTGCAATGAAGGTTCGAAAATATTCCAGGAACGGTCGGGACTTTGCAATAGTCCCGCCCGTTACGCTTTAAATTATTAATTTTTAAGGAATTAAACAGTCATGACTGTTGCAATCACGATACCTAATTTTGCCAAATAAAAACCTTGTTAAACAGCTTTTGTTTAGAGCTATTTATAAAAATTTGAAATTGGTAATATGGTGGAACAATATTATTTTGTAAATAAAAACACGGCGGCTGTCCTATCCGTTAAGCGTGGAATGCCCCATATGTATTTTACAATTTTAAGCAATCTTTTACAAAATATTTGTAAATGCTTAAAACTCACTTTTTTATGCACTACACTAAATTTTGACATAGTTCACATTGCAAAACAGAATGTTGTTCTGTCAAATTTAAAATTGGTAAAATTTTTGACGGCTGTCAAAATTAACCAGTGACATTTGACAAATATCAATAATTTCGACAAAATTACAGGTGACATCTGTCAAAACCAACCAGTGACAAATGTCAAAAATTACGTCAAAATGTTGTCAAAAAATGACAGGTGACAGCTGTCATAGTTAACCTGGGACAAAAGGTAAAAAAATCAGGGTTGTGAACCGTAACAAAATTTCGGTCCATGGACCGGTTCGCCAGCGGTTCAGTTCCAAAAAAGGTCCATGTAACCGGACCGTTTGTGGACCGTTTGTGTTGGACCGGTCGAGCAAAAATAGGTTCGACTGAACCGGTCCGTTTTGTAACATTGACAGTGTGGACCGCCAAAAACGGTCCACGGTCCATGGACCGGTCCGAACGAACGAAAACGTAATAGGTATAAGTATATATAAATGGCGTCCACGCCAGGTCGGGTTGTCCTCCGTGACATTGTTCTTTCTTAAATAGGACACTTTAAATTCTAAAATTTGGCAAAATGGCTTTTAGCAACGTTGCCAGGTTTTTTGATAGCCGTCCATATTAAACAGTATTACATACATATTTAAATTTTAATTAATCATTATGTATTCGCATTATTGCGCAGTGTGTACCAGATGTTTTTTTATGCGCAGTAGGTACCAGATGGTTGGGTCCATGCGCAGTAAGCACCAGGTGGTTTTATGTGTGCGCACTGTGTACCAAATGATTTGATCTATGCGAAGTGGGTACGAGATTATTATGTCTATGCGCAGTGGGTACCAGGTGGTGGTTTCCATGCGTAGTTGGTACCAGGTGGTTTATTTTTATGCGCAGTAGGTACCAGATGGTTGGATCCATGCGCAGTAAGTACCACCTAGGTGGTTTTATGTGTGCGCACTTTGTACCAAATGATTTGATCTATGCGCAGTGGGTACGAGATTATTATGTCTATGCGCAGAAGGTACCAGGTGATGGTTTTTATGCGTAGTGGGTACACTCATTTCGGCACCTGTACACTCATTTTGGCACCTGTCATTTTGACAGTTTTTATTTGGGCTCCTGTCATTTTGATAGCTGTTATTTGGGCCCCTGTCATTTTATCACCACTTATTTTTACAACTTATTTTGACAGCTGTCATTTGGGCACCTGTCATTTTATCATCACTAATTTTTATAGATGTTATTTCCGCACTTTCGCCATTTTGACAGCCTTTATTTTGACACCTGTCATTTTGACAGTTGCCATTGTGAACAACGTATTTCTCGTTGATTTACAATAATTGTAAAAAAACCATTATTGTTTTTTCACTTAATTTACTTAATTTTTTCATGAAACGTACATTAAAATTTGTCCCCCTAGAAATAATGTTAGATTTATCATTCCACGTTAAATTTTTATATTTATTTTACCAATTACAAAAAATTTTCAGAAAAAAAATAAAATTTTCGGAAAATCGCTTTCTCGTGAATAACTTATTATATTGATAGTATTTAGTTTTTTTAATAATTAATCATTAAACATTTCTATTGATTGTGAAGATTTGAGCTGTTAATATTAACTATAGTAATTATTTTTCGAATTTTGACGATATTTGTTTTTTTAATTTGGTACCCACTGCGCCCACATAAAACCAACTGGTATCTGGCATCTGCGCATGGAAACCACCACCTGGTACCCACTACGCATAAAAACTGGTACCTTCTGCGCATAGACACAATAGTCTCGTACCCACTGCGCATAGATCAAATAACTTATTATATTGATAGTATTTAGTTTTTTTTAATAATTAATCATTAAACATTTCTATTGATTGTGAAGATTTGAGCTGTTAATATTAACTATAGTAATTATTTTTCGAATTTTGACGATATTTGTTTTTTTAATTTGGTACCCACTGCGCCCACATAAAACCAACTGGTATCTGGCATCTGCGCATGGAAACCACCACCTGGTACCCACTACGCATAAAAACTGGTACCTTCTGCGCATGGACACAATAATCTCGTACCCACTGCGCATAGATCAAATCATTTGGTACAAAGTGCGCACACATAAAACCACCTGGTACTTACTGCGCATGGATCCAACCATCTGGTACCTACTGCGCATAAAAATAAACCACCTGGTACCAACTACGCATGGAAACCACCACCTGGTACCTACTGCGCATAGACATAATAATCTCGTACCCACTTCGCATAGATCAAATCATTTGGTACACAGTGCGCACACATAAAACCACCTGGTGCTTACTGCGCATGGACCCAACCATCTGGTACCTACTGCGCATAAATAAACATCTGGTACACACTGCGCAATAATGCGAATACATAATGATTAATTAAAATTTAAATATGTATGTAATACTGTTTAATATAGACGGCTATCAAAAAACCTGGCAACGTTGCTAAAAGCCATTTCGCCAAATTTTAGAATTTAAAGTGTCCTATTTAAGAAAGAACAATGTCACGGAGGACAACCCGACCTGGCGTGGACGCCATTTATATATACTTATACAAGCACGTAGTGTGTACCTATTACGAAATTATTATATGTATATTATTATATGAAAATTGGGTTTAGAGCAGTTATCCCTTTGCGCGCGTTTAAAGTTTCACTTCAAAAATCCGCGAGGGCCAACAAAAAAAAACTTTATTTGGTGGAATGACCCATATAATATATAAAAAAAATCTGACATCTGTCAGTTCCAATCTCACTTTTTCCAATTTAAAACCCGATTGGTTCAAATCACAGTAATAATAATAATGTCAATAATATGAAATAGGAGTGGAAATAATCTAATAATACAAATGTTTGGACCGGTTCAAAGTGTTTAAACCGGTCCAGTACCGCTCCAAAACACTTGAAAACGGTTCGGTCCAAAATTTGTACCGGTCCAAGTAATTTTAAAAACGGGACGGTCCATGGACCGGTCCAGAATTATAACTTGTTTATTTTGGGTACGGACCGGTCCGTAACAAACAAGCGGTTCTTGGACTGGTTCACAACCCTGAAAAAAATAACGTCAAAATTAAAATATGACAGCCAATTTTTGACATCTTTTTTATATACTTACAAGATGTTACTAAATGTGTTGTAATTTAAAGTGGATGGGCGATTTTTTTTTATGTATTGCCCAACAATTTTATTTTATAAGAAGGGGTAAATTAAATCTTATAGAAATACTTACATTTTTGACAGGTGTCAAGAATAAGATGACAGATGTCAAGAAATGACAGATGAGCTTAAGTTGATTTCAAAAACCTTAACTGGGTCCACTAACTAAATCCATGAAATTTAATCCTTAAAAATTCTGTAAATTCTTAAAAACAAAATTGTAAAATTTGTTGAAGATCCTTAGAGTCCAAAGGTATTATTATTATTTTTATTATTAATGTTCTTTATTGAAGTTTCAAAGGGCCATTGACTTACGTCCTTCAGCCAGAATATTACAGGTTTATAATATAACAATGGTATTTTAAAAATAGATATATCACATTCTTACAAAAAAAAAAAAACCAAAAAATATGTATACAATAATATACAGTAATATAATTACTAGTCATCATTAAATATCCTTAAAAATTCTGTAAATTCTTAAAAACAAAATTGTAAAATTTGTTGAAGATCCTTAGAGTCCAAAGGTATTTTAATAAAACTTTCTTTTAAAACTAAAAATGTTCTTTATTTTAATCATAAAATCACCTTAATAAAACTTAAAACAGAATTCTTATTATAAATAAAAAATATTTATTTTTTAGCAAATGATATTTTCATGGCATGAGTCGGAGTGATTTTAAAACCTTGCAGGGCATCTTTGGCAGCCCCCGATTGCATTTCATTCTCAAACTCCACAAAAGCAATATCATGCCTGTTTGGCACCAAACGAACTTCCTTGAAACCAGGGAACCTGAAAAAAGTATTTTTGAAAAAAATTGTTTTCATGATTATTTTTTTGTTAACTTACTGGTTGAATAACATGCTCAACATCATCTCGCTGGTTTCGTCGGGCAAATTGGTGAGGAAAAGGATTTGGTTGGGTGGCTGCTCAGCATTGTTTCCCCCGGGAATTCTGTTGGGGTCCTTGTTCTTCTTCTTCTTCTTGGGTGCGTCTTCATCCTTGGAAGGCGGAGGCCTGATTTTCTTGGGCCTTTCTTGGAATGTTCCCTTCAGCTTCGATATCACGTCAGAGTCCACTTTAGCGTACTGTATTCTCTGCAATCACACACGTTAATAATTGTGCCTGGTGCAATGCACATCATTCTATTAAACATTTTAAACGCAAACTAAAAGAGATAGAGATCTGTTACCATTGGTTTGTCGTAGAAGGGGAATCCCTGCATCGATCTGAGCGCGTTGGTGGAACTTTGGATTTCCTTGAATATGACGAACGCTTGCCCACGCATTTTCAGCGTTTTTAGCGCCACTATGTCCACTATTTGACCGAATTGCGAGAAAATCGCGTACAGCGACTTTTTCAGCTCTTCCTTCTTCACTTTTTCGTTTAAATTGTTTATGTAAATCGTATTATTCGGCCTGATATCCATCTGAAAGCAAGATTTTTTAGGTTATGCATGGTTTTTACTTCAAAAACACTATTTATCTTACCTTTAGCCTGATGTGAATTATTTTTAATGTTCAAGAAGATTACGTGCTGTATATTTTCGACAATATACTGTATGTTTCACCAAGCTACACCTAATTTTAATAAAAACTTATAACGACGCCGATTTATAAACGATTAATAAATATGAGTAGATGGCGCTGCGATTAAGGCGCCATCTCTAAAATGCCGCTAAAATTCCTCAAAAGAACTTTACAGTTTTCTTTTTAAATGTTGGGGTTATTCGGTTTAGTTCCTCTATTATCAACTAGGTGTCGTTTGGAAAAAATTAGTATTTTTCCAACAACTTTAAAAAGGTATATTTAAATTATATGCAATTTGATGATTTTTTAAGGCCCAACCAAATTATTTAAAATATTATTCACTTGTTAAATAACATAAATACGTAGATAAATTAAATATATGATTTTGTGAGGCACCAGACACATTCACAAATAATTTCAGATTTTTTTACAACACAGATTTCAAAAAAAATACTTTTGTAATTTACATTTGTTTTCATACCCACGCCATTTTTTATTTCGTAGGTAGGTATCTCACGATCTCTCATGAGATTTACATTTGGCTTAAAAAATTGATTATTACAGTATATTTTTTATGTAAATCTCAATTTTTTTAGCACTTTTTATAATTGCCATTTTAAATTTTGAACTACCAACTTAAGAAATAACAAATATGACAGTTTTAAACGTTTATGAATTCATTAATAAAATTTTGCCATTATAAAAATAAATTGACAATTTGTATTGTTAAGTACTGGTTATGTTGTTTTTAGTTTTAAATAATACTTTAATTTGTAATAGAGTATTAATTTGTTAATTAAAATAGGTACCTACAACGTTTTATTTTTACCACATTGGCACTCTTGTTATTTATTTATCAAACCTTACGTTTTTTCAGCAATACGCAAATGAAATGAAAAATAGCTATCTCCCTATGTTACATAGGCTATGTAGGTAAGTATGTAAATTTATTAATTACTTTTTTTTACGACCACTATGTAAAAGCCACATTTCGTAATGGCATCGTTGCTTAGAAAATTTATCTTTTCATTGGCAACTTGCCAATGTTCTTTGTGCCAATGGCAAGGCACACACGAATGTAAAGTGGCATTTCTGTGCAGCGTTGCCAACCGTACCATAATTATGGAATTGTACCATAATTTCACTATCTTTTCCATAATTTTTTTAGGCGTACCATAATCAATAATTATACCATAATTTTGCAACTTTGCGTTAATCCTCATTCAACGGCAAAACGATTTTTTCAGTTAATTCTTTTGATTTTAAAAATAAATGTGTAATTTATGTGTTTTAAATTTTTTATACCATTTTTGTTTTGAACAGTTTGCTATTTTGTCTGCTCAAACTGGCTAAATATATTCTTGTTCTATGGCTAGCTTTAAATTTAATGCATTATCAAAATTTGTGTTTTCTAAAATTAATTTAATTAAAACCCAGATAGCACAAGATGTCCTGAGGACATCCGGTTTAAATCCTTTACAGACGGTCGCGACCAGAAAACCGATGGACGTACTGAGGCCTAGGCCGATGGACATCCTGAGGCCTAGGCCTCAGTACGTCCATCGGTTTTCTGCCTGCGACGAAAGTTGAAGATACAATTTGATATATCACCCTTTATAAAGGGTCTAAGTGAAAAAAAATTACACCTTGTTTTTTATTAAAAATACTATTTAATCAAGCACGATAAAAGATTTAAAAAAAAGATGTCCATTTTTTTTTACTTATATAATTATAATTACGGCCCGCGTTATGTTACCCCGGTACCGTTTAGCCATGTTCTAACCGAAGTCGGCCAGAATACGGCATGCCGATGCAAAATCCTTCGGCTTGCCCTAGCCGGCCCGCTTACGGCTGGAATTCGGCCTGCCGCAGCATAATCGATACATCTCACGGCTGCTTACGCACGCGAGCTAACTATAAATAGCGATTGGTTGCAATATTTAGTTGGAAGTGTGTGTCCGTAATGGCATAGCTGAACATTAATTGTTTGGAGTCCCCATCTCCATCCTCATCTGCTCAGTAACGAATAATGTCTAGCTAGTCGAGTGTGTTAAAAAAATATCTTGCGATTCAGAGAATTTCAGGTCTGAACTTATAGGATATACCTCTCCAGGACGTCTGTAGGCTTTTTTATTATAATAAAATTATATCCTAATTCGGTCCTCATATGTCCCGAATTGGACAGCTTGGGGTCAAATACATAGAGAAAGGAAAAAAGGAGAGGAACACTTTACGTGTTACGATTAAGGCACATAGTTTCGAGCGCCCTCGGTGGCTACGGGAATGAACTAGGTGTTTGGAGGGAGATTTAAAACTAAAATAGATCTATTTATGATAGAAATAATAAAAATGCATATTAAGATAAATTTTTTTATTCAAGAAACAAATGTATATAAATAATAGTATAAATAAATAATAATAGTAATAAATAAATAAAGTAAATATTATAAAGTAAATAGTAATAAATAATAATGTGTGCCTGGTTGCCAATTGGAAAAACTTTTTTAAGACAAAAATTGTTACGTTTTAAGAAAAAATTTAAACAAATATACAGGGTGCTTCCAAATCACGGATTAATTCATTTATAGAATTTTTTTAGAGAAAGTCGATGAAAATTATAATACGAAATAATAAAATATTGAATGCCTAATTTTATTTAAAGATGTTAATTTTTTAAATTTATATTTGGTCTTTAAATTGCCAACTATAAATATATATCTATAGATATTATAAAATATTATAAATAAAGGTACTTTTTGAATTTTCTTAATTTTTAAACAACCTGTATATTTGATTAATTTTTTAATGGGAATCTCATTTTTAAATAATTAGAAGATATTATGAAGAATGTTTTTTCGTAAAACGCATAATAAAAATGTTCACAAACCCCTCTGGGGAAACACTGTATATAACACTGTATTATAAAACAGAACAAAAATAAAAAATAACAAATAGGTACCTAACAAATAAAAACATTTTTAGGAGATATAATATGGTGAAAAAATTAATAAACTTTAATCTTAAATATAAACAAAACAAACGAAACATTTTTGCATAAAAACATCTTATACAGGGTGTCCCATAATTAGCGTGCATACAAAAATAGGTCGAGAAATGCTCTCCAAGGGAGCTACAGCCCCCAAAACAGGAGCCCCTGAAGATGGTTTTTATTAAATATCTCCAAAACCGTTTAAGATAAAAAAGTGAAATTTTGGGATATAATCAAACTTTATATAGCCAATAATTGGAATGATAAAAAATTCAAAATTTTTATAAGGGGTGGGTCAGATAGAAATGGAGGGGGGGTAAAACTACCCTAACTTTTTTGTACGTATCATGTGCTATGATTTGATATCAGATCATAAAATTTCAGAGTTTTACACACAAAAACGGTCCTCTTGATGAACTTCGATAGCATGCACCGTTTTCGCTTAAAATCGATTTAAAAATTACCTTACATAGCATAAAAATTCATAATTAAATCACAACTAGAGAAAAAGATTCAGCGTAGGCCATGGACAATTTTTAAACATGGCCATGGACAATTTTTAAACACCCTGTCACATATTACATAAAACTGTCACCTGTATTAAATAATTTTTCCTAAAGATGGCAGCTGTGTTCCATGGCCTACTTTGAATTTTTCTCTCTTGTGAATTCATTATGATCTTTTATGCTATGTAAGGTAATTTTTTTTAAATGGATTTTAAGCGAAAACAATGGAGAATATCAAAGTTTAACAAGAGGACCTTTTTTGTGTGTAAAATTCCTAAATTTCATAATTCACATCAAATCCCAGCACGAGACACGTACAAAAAGGAGGGTGGTTTTAACCCCTATACCCTATCAATCTGACCCACCCCACATGGAAATTTTGAATTGTTATTATTATGTAATGTACATCTTATTGGCCATAAAAAGTTTGATTAATTTCTACCTTAACGATTTTGGATATATTAAATAAAAACCATCTTCAGGGGCTCCTCATTTGGGGGCTGTAGTTTCCTTAGAAAGCATTTCTCGGCCTATGTTTATGGGAACTTTTTTTTCTTATTTTTGCACGTAGTATTGCACGCTATTTATGGGACACCCTGTATATTACATATAAACCATATAAATTTTAATATTATTACCTCAAATAAAGCTGTAAACCATATGTGGTTTATATTTTTATAATAATAACAATTTAAAGTTTAAACTGCCCATTATTATCTTTAGGGACATTGAGAATCTCCTACCAGGTATATCAGAACGATTAGATCCTAAAAAACAAAGTATTAAGGAGGTGCAGAGTGTTTATAAAATTATTACCTTTAATGTAGCTCTGGACAAAGCATACACAAAAAAATAAACAAATAAACCATGTACACAAACAATGTAACCTCACAAAACGAAGTTTTATAATACAAAAATTACTCAAACACACCCGCTAGAATGTTGTCTTTGTTGAATACATATAAAAACAAAGACGGCTGCAGAGCAGTATGACAATTATATAGTTCAGCCGCTCACCACCATGCGCTATGCGCTACGGGAACGTTATGCATGCGCCGTCCTATTCAATTGGTGGTCTTTTTCTTTTCTTTTGTCTATGGTCAAATACGGACGTCCTGAGGACATCTGAAACAGTCTATTTCGGAAGTCTGTGGACGTACTACGAACGTACTTTTGCAGACCCCGGACATCCTGAGGACGTTCGGGTTGTCCTGGGTGGAAGTCCTACGAACGTCCTACGAACGTACTTGTGCTATCTGGGAACAGATTTGCGCAATAAACTTTGCAGTGAAACTATTAAGTAGCCAATTAATGGAAAAAAATTGCGTTGGATTTGATCCACCGTCACCTATGTACAAGCTAATGACTAAAGAAATAAGTATATTCTAATAAGACTGATGGTGGT